GGGTTGGCAACCAATGTCACAAAACAACATGTGTATTAATGGTTTAATGAGAAACTAATTTGCTCTATAAACCTTCACCCAAAGCACAATTAAAAAAATAAGTTTACTATAGCCATACTATTTATTTATAGTGCAGCAGTAATTCATGTGTCCTAATAACAGCTTGCCTGGATTCAAATCCTGGCTCATATCTTGAGCAGGTTGCTTAACCTTACTTTCCTCATTGATAAAGTGTAGATAACAATAACTACAAAAAGCCTCTTGAAGTTATGGTGAAGATTAGATGAGTTAATATATGTAAAGTACAAGTAAGAATGATGCACAGAGTATATATTCAATGAATGTTAGTGTTATGGATTGAATTGTGTTCCCCCCAAAAGATACGTTGAAGTGCTAACACCTGTACCTGTGAATATGATTCTCTTTGGAAATAGGGTTTTTCTTTTGTTATGTCAAGAGGTCATACTGGAGTAGGGTGGGTCCTAAACCTAATCCCTTCTGAGTGGTGTCTTATAAAAGGGAGTACAGATTCAGAGGAAGAGAGACACAGGGGGAGATGCCACGTGATGATGCAGGCAGATGTATCTATAAGCAGCAAATGAATGCCAAGCATTGCCAGCAATTACCAGAAACTAGGAAAGAGGCCCACAGAAGGAATCAACATGGTTGAGTCCCTGATTAGGACTTACAGCTTGCAGAACTCTAGGACAATAAATTCCTGTTCTTTAAAGCCACCACTTGTGGTATTTTTTGTTATGACAGCACTGGTAACTAAGCGCAGTTGCTCTCAAGTCTACTTGGACTCATGGCAATCCCATGTGTGTCAGAGTAGAAATGCGATCCACAGGGCTTTCAATGGCTGATTTTTCAGAAGTAGATCACCAGGCCTTTCTTCCAAGGCACCTCTGGGTGGACTCAAAACTCCAACATTTCTGTTAGTAACTGTCATGGATTGAATTGCATCTCCCAAAAAGATGGGATTAGTGGCAGTTATGTTAATGAGGCAGGACTCAATCTACAAGATTAGATTGTGTTTTAAGCCAATCTCTTTTGAGACAGAAAAGAAAGAAGCAGGCAGAGAGACATGGGGACCTCATACCACCAAGAAACTAGTGCCAGGAGCACGAGTCCTTTGGACCCAAGGTCCCTGTGCTGAGAAGCTCCTAGTCCAGGGGAAGGCTGATGACAAGGACTTTCCTCCAGAGCTGACAGAGAAAGAAAGACTTCCGCTGAAGCTGACACCCTGAATTTGGACTTCTAGCCTACTAGACTGTGAGAGAGTAAGTTTCTTTTTGTTCAAGCCATCCACTTGTGGTATTTCTATTATAGCAGCACTAGATAACCAAGACAGCAGCCAAGTGCGTTAACCATTTGCACCACCCAGGAACTCCAACTAAGACAGTTAGCTATTGTTATAATTCCAGCTGGAACCTGAAAGACAAGTAGGAGTTAGCTAGGAGAGAGGGAAAGAGGAGGGAAGAAACTCCAAGAAGAGAGAGTGACATGTGCAAAAACTCACAGGCATAAAGTTGCTTGACTCACAGTAGAATTAAAGGCCAATGTTTCTTAGCATAGAAACCTAAGAGGAAAGTGGTACCATGAGATGAGGCTGATACCATTGATGTCAGTAATGTAAGGCTCTGTAGGCTAGGTTAAGGAGTCTGAACTTTATCCTAAGAGCCGGAGGAAATTCGAAAGGTTTTATAAAGGAGAGTGACAAGTTTATATTTGCAATTTTAAAAGCTCTCTCTGACTGCAGCATAGAGAGCTGGTTGGAAAGAAGTAAAAATAGATGGCCGAGAAACCAGTAAGGACGATACTGTAGCAGTCTAGACAAGCAGCTGGTAGCTTGAACTAGGGGAGTGACAAAGATGGGAGGAAGCTGGCTGACTGAAGAAATAATTAGAAGGTATAACCAACAAGACTTAGTGTGCGTGTGTTGGGGGGAGGTGGCAGGGAGGGAGAAGCTCTAAACAAATATTTGAGGAAGAAAGGAATTCTTGTGTTCCCGTCATATTCTTTCACTGCACAGAATGCTGTCACTCTGTCTCTCCAGGCAGTTCCTTCCGTTTCCTCCACAAAACTGTCCTTCTTTTTTCCAGGAGCATTCTAGAATTTTAGAGCTGAGCATAGTAGTTTAGAGGATGAAGAAACTGCCTGAAGCCAGAGACCATGTCTTAGTCAACACTCCATCCCTGCCACCTCATTTCCCTAATATTTGTAAAGACCCAACCACTCCAGACCCATACTTACAGAACTTTTCCTATAAGTGTCTGCACGAGTGGTACAATCATAAAATAGTCTATGCTGATATAAAGCTCTGTGACCCAAAGCATTACACAGATGGGGGAGTTTTCACAACCATTTTTTCTTGGATCTTCACAGAACTCTTGTAAGATAGGTACTACTATTGTTGTTGTTAGATGCCATCAAGTTGTTTTCGACTCATAGCAACCCCATGTGACACAGTAGAACTGCCCCATAGAGTTTTCTTGGCTGTGATCTTTACGAGGCAGATCTCTAGGTCTTTCTCTTAAGGAACTGCTGGATGGGTTTGAACCACCAACCTTTCAGTTAGCAGCCCAGCACTTAAACGTTTGCATCACCAGGGTCCCTTAAATACTATTATAGAGGAAGTAATCTCAGAACTAAAGTGACATGTCCAAGATCTCACACACTAAAGGAAATGGCAGTGCTAAGACTTGAACCTAGACCTCCTGGTTCCAAATGGGATGTTCTTTAATCCCTGTAGATTAAGTGTGGTATTCATATTTACCTAAGATAACTGTAAATTCTTGGAGGCAGCTAAGAGCCACTTCTGGGAATTCTTCCCGGTTTGTAAGTTATCAATTAATTTATTTAAAAAATGTTTATTGAGCACCTACTATGTGTCCCCCGTGGAGCCAGACCTACTCTTGGTGTAGTAAGAGAAGGTGCTTGCCCTCAGAACAAACGTATAGACAATGTAAGTGATAAGTGCTATAAAGAAAACACACAGGTGATGGATGTCAGCGAAAACATTTGTCCTCTTCGGTGCTACTTTAGATAGAACGGTCTGAGACCTTTCTGAATAGTGACATTTAAACTGAAATCCAAGCTAAGTTTTCAATAGATTCGTAATGAAAGACCTTTCCCCATCGACTTAGTTTGGGAAACACCAACAGAAGGAAAAAGCGTACTCCAACCTTCGCGGCCAGACTATGACTGGGAAGTGGACAGGTGCCAGCCTAGTTCGGCCGCCACCACTAGAGGGCGCCGCGGGTCCTCTCAGTCCCCAAGAGGCGCCATGGACCGAGGCACTGACAAATTGACATCTGGAAACGAAGGTAAAACAACATCCGAGGTCAGGCAGACACAAAGGGCGGTGCTGACAAGTCCTGTGGCCTGAGGGAATCGCGGGGGGTGGGGGGGTGTCACTGTGGTCCTCAAAAGGAGGACGTACTCCGGCTCACAAACCCCACTACTGCATATGCCGTCTCTCCATTAGGGATAGTCCTCTTCCGGGGGGGCCTTTAAACCAGGAAGTTGTGGTTGTGTCCAATCCAGATCCTTCCTCCGCACTCAGTTTTTGAGTCCATTCCTCGGCTGGACTGTGCCAGAGCAAAGCCGACTATGGCTACCAATCAGGGCTCAGGGAAGGCGCATGCGTCTTCGAACGAACACCACCTATGGTGAATTTTGACCTGAAGACCTCTTCTCTCCCCCTCCCTCGCTGTTAAGATGGCGCTCTCCAGAGTGTATTTGCTTCGGGTCGCTCTGTGGGGCTCAGCGATCACCTCTGGTCCTTTTGTCTCTCGGAGGCTGCAGCTTGGTTGCTCTGGCCTAGTCTTGGGGGCCCCTCGGTGAGGGACCTGGAAAAAAGAAAAGCATTTTTGACGTCCAGGCTCTTCCAGTGGCTCATCCTTACTTGCATGCTGTCTCTTAGCCCCCTTCCTGATTCTCAGGGTCGCATGCCCCGGCCCCGGGATTTTTATTCTTCTGCTTAGGATTTGCACCCCGGCCCCCGACAGTGACTCGGCTTCCCGACCGCTTCTAATTCTCAGTGCCCCACATTGTCTGAATTCCCCGCGTGTCCTGAGCTCAACTTTCAAGCCTCGCTTTTTCACCTCAGGTTTTACCGCTGCTACCTCGCTCACATCTCTCTCAGGTCTTAACCTGTCGCGCAAATTCTCTCCGGACTCATATCACTACTTAACATCCCTGCCTGTCTGGCCTCTCATATCGGGGGCTTTTTCTGCCTGGATCCACCCTCCTCGGTTTGATTGCTTATCTCTCCTTGACCCCAAGACCTTCTTTGGATTTCAGAAGTTTCAGGTCTTGGCATGCATTCTTTGAGGCTAACGTTTAATATTAGGACCGGAGGTGTGGGGGCTCCCAGGCCTGGTTCCCAGATAGTCTCCTTGATCTTCCTTGTAGGTCTTCAAAGCTTCATCTCTCTCCAAAGGCAGATGTGAAGAGCATGATCTCTTATGTGGTGACCAAGACGAAAGTGATTAATGAGAAATACCATCGTTTCTTGGATCGTAATTTCCCCCGCTTCTATGTCTTGTACACAATCTTCACGAAAGGTAAAAAGAAAACTAAAATAGAAACCCCTTGAGTTAGCTCTTGGGCAGTGTTGGTGAGTTAGAGTAAGTACGATTATTTGCAGGTTCTACTTTGGGGATGAGAGCTGGGATATATTCTGTTTCTTAAATGGTAGAATAGTAAACTAATCCTCATAAATTAGTACTTCTTGAGGATGTTTCTAGAAAGGTATGATGGGAAACAACTTCTGACAACACCTGGGGGTGGGGAGATATTCTTGCATTTAACTTTTCTTAACCGTACCCCTGACTATAGCAGAAATTCTTTGTCATGCACAAGAGCAGGATCTGTGGCTGCACAGACCTGCCCTGTGATGTATCAGTTGACTTGGCCCATAAGGAAATGTGGTTTAATGCTTGTCACAAATCTATTCTAGGTAGCATGCTGTGGTGGAAATAGCACTACGTATACTTGTTTTCTGAATGTCTCTGCCAGTTACCAGGAGATGGTATAGTGTCAAGTGTCCACTTTGGAGCCAAACTGCCTGGGTTCAAATGCCAGCTTGTCCTTACTGGCTGTGTGATTGGACTAGTTACTTAACCTCTCTGTCCCTTGGTTTTATTATCTGTAAAATGGGGATAATAATAGTACCTGCCTATTGACAGCATGGTTGTAAAAATTAAATAAGCCATATTAATTTAAATTTAATAAATCAAATCAGTAAATACACGCATGTGAAATACTTAGGACAGGATCTGATCTGTGGTAAGTATTCAGTAAGTGTGAGTTTTTGGTAATTATTGTACTTTATACTTACAATGCTAATTACAATAAACTAGCACATTGTAAACTCCTAATATTATCGTCATTATTACTGGCTTCATGAACTTGCACAAATTGCTTATCCTTTTCTATAAAGTGGAGATAGAATACCTGCTTTGTGTACCCTCAGGTTTGTAATTAGGATTGAATGAGAAAAGGATCTGAAAACATTTTGGTTGGTTTGTTAACTTTTACTATGGAAAAATTTTAAACATACACAAAAGGAGAGAGAATAGTATAATAAACTTCCATATACTCAACCTCGCTTTAATAATTTATCGACTCCTGGCCACCAATGTTATTTCATCTATACTCCTGCTTTCTCCTGGATTTTTTTTATGTCAGTCTACTCATTATGTCATTTCAGTCATAAATATGAAAGCATTTTTTAGAATTAAAGTGTTAGATAAATATAAGCATTATCATAGAATGAAGATTAAAAATACATCTTAGAAATATGATGAGTTATAGTAATTATAAAGGTGTTCTAGAGAAGAGATGAGTTAATGATATCTGGCTAGGAAATACATAGGGTTAACTGAGCAAGACTTCTTGTGGGTAGGAAGCTTTGAATCTTTTTTTTTTTTTTTAATTGTGCCTTAGGTGAAAGTTTACAGCTCAAGTTAATTTCTCATTCAAAAATTTATACACATATTGTTTTATGACATTGGTTGCAATCCCCATGATATGACAGCACGCTCCCCCTTTCTACCCTCGGTTCCCTGTGTCCATTTGTCCAATTCCTGTCCCTTCCTGCCTTCTTGTCCTGCTTTTGGACGGGAGCTGCCCTTTTGGTCTTGTAGGGAGCTTTGAATCTTGATTTTTAAAAAGGGAATGATTAATGAACCAGAAAAGGGAAACCATTGCAAAGTAGATCTCAGAAGCCCATCTTGGCTGGAAGAGAGGTGATATGCTGTGGGGGTGGGAGGGAGATGAGAAAAGAGATACAGGTTGGGCTCCTAAGAGTTTCATGTTACCTAGTTTGAAGCATTTATTAGGGTTGGGGAGGGACAAGTATGTGTGCATGTGGGTGAACATGGAGTAGGAAGCTGTGTTAAGATTCAAACTGGGATAACATCATACTCTGTGCTCTACTTTAATGAGGCAGGATTGCGGATGTTATGGGCTGATGCCAAGAAGGCTAGAAGAATAAAGGCAAATATGTTGAAGCACAATATAAAGTTTCATCAACTTTCATACCGGGAGATGGAGCATTTGAGACAGGTATGGCCTAGGGGGCAGATAGCCAGAAGTTCACGGTGAGGTAAACAAAATTAAACAAGATCTCAATTTTTTTTTTTTTTTTCTCTTTTTCACCACCGATCCAACTTTTGCCCTTGGCCGTGAGATCAAAGTATTGAACTGATTGAGGGCATCAGATTATTTGTCAGAGTCAGGGTCATTCAGAGTTGTAGCCCTCCATAGCAAAGCTCCAGAGAGTTTCTGGCAAACTTTCTGAATAAAAGGTGTGAACACTAAAATCCTATTCGTTTCTAAACATCTAAAAATCTGGAAGGATCCAAAGAGTAGCCAGAAAGTAGCATTTGGTGGATCCATTCTGCATATCAAGAAGAAATCACTGCAGGATTTGGTATAATGTCAGGCCTGGTACTAGACATTATTTGGGATACAAAAGTGAACAAATCAGAGGCTCTGTTCTCAAGGAGGAGCCCTGGTGACACAGTAGTTAAGTGCTATGGCTGCTAACCAAAAAGATGGCAGTTCGAATCCACCATCTGCTCCTTGGAAACCCTATGGGGCAGTTCCAGTCTGTCCTATAGGGTCATTATGAATTGAGATCAACTCAATGGCAGTGGGTTTGGTCCTCAAGGAACTTACCATGTACAGGTAGATAGAAATAATCTTCGTCTTTTTCTGGACTGTGATAGAAGTTTACTGCACAGTGGGATGGAGGGATTGTCCATTTTGTTAAGAACTTACTGGGTTAAAACTGCATCTGTGTTTATTTCTGCTTAGTTCCGCCGAGACGTCATCAAGTGTCTTTTCCTAGGTATCATTTCCATTCCACCCTTTGCCAACTACCTGGTCTTCTTGCTAATGTGAGTACAGACTTCCACCTCCCCAGCATCTTGAAGATATGTAGTTTTTGTTTTGTTTTTTTAAATTAAAAATTATTTTAAGAAGAGCTTTCCATTTCAGAAGCTAGGCAGAAGTTATCAAACTTCCCGCTCCAATCTTCTCATTATCCCAAGGTTCATAAAAACCACTCAGTAACACTGGGGTAACTGAGATGCATTGCAGCTGTAGGTGGCCTAGACTCTTCCTTTCTCTTAGCTGCCCCTCTGTGATGTGAAATAAGATGATGACCTACTCCATCATTCCTGGAGGCAGCAACCCAATCCCAAGAGACATACTAATTTGGGACAAATTTTTGTTTAGGAAAAAAATGCATTTTATATTCATTATATGTTGTTGCAGTTATCTATCACTGTATAACAAGTAATGCCATTGCTTAATAGCTTAAAACAGCCACTATTTTCATGATTTGTGGGTCAGGAATTTGGGCAGGACTCAGGTGGATGATTGATTTTTCTGCTCCATGTGGTGTTGACAGAGGTCCCTCAGTGGTAAAGCTGGTGAATGGCCTAGTCCAAGGTCAATCATATGTCTGGTGCCTTGGCAGTGATGGCTGGAAGACTGAAACTGTCCCCCAGAGTACCTACATTTGGCCCCCTCAGTGTGGCAGCCTCAGGGTAGTGGGACTTCTTACGTGGTAGTTCAGGGTCCCAGAGTGAGTGCTCCAGCAAATAAGGCAGAAGCTGCCTGGACTTTTAGAACCTAGCCTTGGGGGTCACATAGAATCACTCCTGCTCTATTCCATTGGTTAGAGCAGTCACCCAGATTCAAAAAAGGGAATACAGACCCCATCTCTGAATAAGGGGTGTGTCAAAGAATTTGTGGCCATGTTATAAAAATAGTAGACAAGCAAATTAAACAAATCTATTACCTCTTCTATACTGTCTACACATTAAGGACTATGCCACAGTGTGAAGTTGGTCAACATCACATACAGTGTCGAGCTCTGTCTGCAACTCTGTTCAACTTTGTCCAAAGCATGTTCTTCACATCTCATTTTATGTGATAGCTGCATGCTGGGCCATTCTACAACTGCTTCCTTTCACATACCTCTGTAGTGCTGCTTGAAATTGTGCTTCTGTGTGTCTTTAATTTTTGGTCTGAGACTCATTCAGAAAGAACAGTGAGGTAGGAAAATAATGTCTTCATCTCTTCTTCCTAGTATTTATGTCTGCCAGATGCTTTCTTGGTTGTCTTTGAAAGGTGCCTATTTCAGCAAGTGACTTTGTGATTGCTTTTTCTTTAGGTACCTGTTTCCTAGGCAACTACTGATCCGGCACTTCTGGACCCCAAAGCAACAAGCTGATTTCTTAGATATCTATCATGCTGTCCGGAAGCAGTCCCATCCAGAAATCCTTACTTGTTTAGAAAGGACTATCCCTGTCATTTCTGATGCAGGACTCCGGTGGCATCTGACAGAACTGTGCAGCAAGGTAGTCCCCCAGTTGACCCTACAAACCAAGAATCTTGTTAGATCCAGTTGTACTAAACTAGGAAAGAGGGCTAGTCAAGACCTTCCTGACATCTACCAATGTCTTCCTTCTCCCAAGGCACAGCGTGGTACTCAGCCAGCAGTAAATGATATCCTAGTTCTGAGAGAGTGTTTCTCTGACCATCCTCTGGGCATGAACCATCTCCAGGCTTTGCAACTGGTGAGCACTTTGAGGCCCTCTGTTTTCCACACAGCCTCACCTTGCTACAAGTATTTGCTTGAAGTAATATTATGCTGACTTTCTGTGTTGTGTTACAGAAAGTCTTGAGCCAGGCCATGCTTCTCACACCTCACCTGCCTCCTTTCTTGTTGAGAAGCCGTTTGAAGAATCATACCACTGTGATTCATCAACTGGACAAAGCTTTGGCAAAGCTGGGGATTGGTGAGCTGACTTCTCAAGAAGTGAAATCGGTAAGAGCTTGATTGCAACAACAGCTGTCAACCCTTGGTGGGCTTTTGAGCTTACAGGGAGCTGGGCTTTTTATCTTGTTTGTTGTATCAGAGCTCAAACTGTTTATTCTCTCAACTCATTTCTATGTGTTTTTCTCAGTCAACTAATGGGAAAGACTTAGTTTGTTTCTTTTCCTCTGGCACTTCAAGAACCAAAGACACTATACTCTAGGCTTGTTGTTTTAGATTATATAGACCTCTTTCCTTGTCATCTTGTCCATCCCCAGTTCATGGACTCTTCCTACAGCTCATGAGCACGATGAAGAGAAACTTAAACCTGCCCTAATTGCCATGGTGAAAGTGGATGAAGTTGTAACTTATTTAACTTGTGTAACTTATTTAAAAGGAGCCCTGGTGGTCCAATGGTTAAGTGCTCAGCTGCTAACTGAAAGGTCAGTGATTTGAACCCACTAGCCTCTGCAAGGGAGAAAAGACCCGGTGATCTGCTCCTGTAAAGATTTCAGCCTAGGAAACCCTATGGGGCAGGTCTACTCCGTCCTGTAGGGTTGCTATGAGTCAGAGTCGACTCGATGGCACACAACAACAACAACTTACTTAAAGGAGATTTAGGATTATTTATGGATTTTTCTTCCATGGCATACTCACTCTGTTAATATTAAGGACCGTTTCTCTTCTGGTGGTATAGGCTTGTTATCTCCGTGGCCTGAATTCTACCCATATTGCTGAAGACAGATGTCGAACTTGGCTGGGAGAATGGCTGCAGATTTCCTGCAGCCTAAAAGGTAAGACGGATCCCTATGGTTATACTACTGAAATCCAAACCATTATTGCATTCTATTCTAAGATTATTATTATTATTGAGTACTTGTGAGACCCTTACCTAACATGGGTCTAATTGAAGCAGTACAAACCCACATGCCTAGAGGGGCTAGGCAGTTAATGAAGTAGACTCTGCAAGACAAGAGGGAGTAGTAGGGCCTGTGGGACCATGGGAGTGAGTACATGCTAGTCTAAAGCAGAGTTTCTCAACCTCGTCACTATTGACATTTTGTTTTGGGGGGCTGGTCATGCATTATAGGATGTTTAGCAGCATCCCTGACCTCTCCCCACTAGATGCCAGATAGTACCTTCTCACCCCTAGTTTTGACAACCAGAAATGTCTCCAGATGTTGCCAAATGTCCCCTGGGGGGCAGAATTGCCACAATTGGGAACCACTGGTTGAAAGGCATGCAAATTCAAAACAAAAGCACTCTACTGGCTAAACAAAACAGTATGTGAGGGCCTGTGGGTCTCCTGTTTGCCACTTTTGGCGGGGTCGGGTCTCGATGTTTTCTAGGCCTTTGGGTATTAGGATTGGCTTACTAATCTCTTTGGAGCTAATAAATGTCCCCAGAGCACAGGCTTCTACCAGAAGAATCCCAAGGTAACAAGAGTGTTTAGTACCATTACCATCTCTGGATTTTCTGCTGCCTTCACACAACAATCAAGAAATAGAGAATGGGTTGATCTGAGAATATAGTAGAAGGAGAGGAAAGCATGCATGTAGAAGCTGGAACAAGCCAGGAGAGCTTTGAGAACAATAAGCTCTTAATGCCACACCTCCCTGCACTTGGCGTCCTGCCTCTAGTATCAAGCCCCTGTATTCCAAAGCACTTAGAAGGCAGATTGTTCCCTGGCCAAACCACTAATATTGATGTTTTCAGAAGCTGAGCTGTCCCTCTTGCTGCACAACGTGGTCCTGTTTTCCACCAACTACATTGGAACAAGGCACTGAGTGAACCATGGAGTGGATGGCATTGTCCCACAGTCATGTAATACAGCAGCGTGGGACCAAGCGGCACTTATCAGCAGAGTCTGTGTGCAGTGTTAGCTGTGTGGGAGGCAGGGGAGCAGGTGCCACAGCCCTCAGTGTGGTACCCATATGAGAGCTACGGACATTCCCCTTAGCTGGAGCTGAAACAAACCCTCTGACCAGGGGTGGCCCATGTGAAGTGTCATCCCAACTTCCTCACAATTGGCCAGAGTTGGCAACAGCTCGTGTACTGGGCTTTTAGTGTGATGTGTAAAGTTCAGGTCCTAGGAAGTGAGTTGCCCCAGGTGGGAATTCTTATTTGACCTGGGACCCATCTACTGCCATATTCTTTACAGCCGTGTTTTTTTTGTGGGCGGAGGGGTGGGCAGGGTTAGGAAAGGGTAAAGATAATTTCTGGCTGGTAGGAGCAGCACTACTTCAGCTGGTGCACTTACATGTATGCATGTAGTTTGATACTCTCCTCATGATATGACCAAAAGTAGGGACTTTATTTTGTCCTCACTGGCATGGGCTAACCATTCCGTTTCCTTTTCAAATCCTTTGACCTTTAAAGTTGACGTTAACTTAAAAAACAAACAAAAAACAACTTCTGGGAACATTTTAATGGAAAAGATAAAAGGAAGCACAAGTGCTACTTGACCCCTTCTCCATTGTTTACAGCCTTTGCTCCCCTTGTCTTAATTTCTGGGCTGTAGCACAGCCCCTGTGAATCTTAAACTCTTTGCTACCTCCACTGTGTTGCAGCAATCCAACTGTAACTGGCAGTGGCTGCCTTCTTTGAGCCATGGATCCGTCCCGTAAGGTACTATATTACTGCCTGCCTGGGGAGCCCAGGAGAGGTCTGCATCAAGATAGTAAGTTAGGTTCAGCATTTGTATGTATACATCAGTGACTTGCAGTAACTTATTGTAAATGCATGAAGCACTGTCTTTAAACCCAAGTAAAGACTGACTGAAACTAGTTACTGGAAATTACTTATGCACACTCTAAGTACTTTGCTAAGGCTCCTTTTACAAGACTGACATAACCTAACTAATGGGGAGACAACTGGTTGAAGTAGAACCTTCTGATGGGACGGCAGTTATGAAGAAACTGATCTGAAGCTGGTCCTCTTGATGGGCATCTTAAGATGTCCTAATAGGAATGGAGAATTCCATATATAATAATGAAGTTAATGGAATTAACTTCAGACAGGGCAAAGCTCCAACAGGGCAGGAGCGAGGCCTGCTTCAGCTGAAGAGCTCTTGATGCTCCAAAAAGAGTATTTTTCCATCCTAAAATGTTTTTATTGTTAACATTAATCCCTAACTGGCCTAACTACTTTTATATGCAGAGCTAGAGAAGCATCTTTTCTCTAACAAGTAATTGAGCTGTGGCCTGCCAAGTAAAGAATCACACACCATCCTTTTGAATATTTCTTTAATATTACATTTAAATATTCTCTTTAAATACAGCATTATCACAATGTAAAGGACCTAAAGGCAAAGAAAAATTTTTTTTTCAGAGAACCAGACAAGCTTTGGATTCACACTGAAAATACTACCTGTATACAGTATGTGAGAAAAGAAACTGGAAAATAATAAGGGTTGCAAAGTCATTTCTTTTATCTAGGCCCAACGGAACAGAACTGAAGCTATCTGCTTCTGTGATCAGAGGGCTAGCCTCCTAGCAACCATGAACTATAATTCTCCTATCCAACTCAGATAGCACCAGAAACGAGATGGACTAGGTTTAGAAAAGGCCCTTTGCTTGACAAGATAGTTACTGCTAAATGTTAATATTTACCGTTCAAAAGCTTGGGATCAGTGTGAGTCAGAACTGTAGTTAATGAAGGGATGGACTTACATTAAGAAAGTTTTTCAGAAAAATCAAGTATCTTGCGGGTTGAGAATTGGTTTAGTAATTACAGATTCAGACTCCTGGACTGATCCCAAAGGCTAATGTGTCTCTCACCGAGCAGCTAGAATCTACTTTCCTAGATTAGAAGGGAGCCTTCCTGAGGAGGGACTGTGTGTGGAGAGCTCGCACTCCCCTTCCAACACAAACTTTCAAAAAGATTCTTTTCTCCCTAGAGCAAAGTGAATTCGCAGTGAAGCTTCAGTCTTGTATTGGAGGGTACCTGGCTAAGATGGGGGGAGTGTAGCTCAGTTCAAGATAGTATCTAGATCTCAGGTACTTAGACTGTCTTTCAATTCTGTTTTGTGAGGCCTGGGGATGGGGAGAGATAAGGACCTATATACTTAAGAACTCCCCTCTAAACAAAAAAACAAAAACAGGAATAGAGGGGCAGAATGGGTTAAGAGATGTTATCTGTATTAAGTACAAGGCCTTTCAGACTCAGAGTATAGAGATTTTATAGGTGGAATGCTGCAACATACATGAAGGTTGTTTTAAGACACCAGGGCCTTAATATCCCACAAGAAAAGGCTTTATGGGCAAGATAAGTAGGAACAGTTATTCCCACCAACCAAAAAAAAGAAAGTTTTTCACTTTTTTCCTTCCTGGTTAATAAACCATACCAGAAGTGAAGTACAGTATGAAGGATGATAATACTGTTTTGCTCCCTACTGCCCCCATTTTAAAACAGAGGCAAAGATAACTTTGCTAATAAAAAAGAATTAAGCAGTATTTGATGGAACAGATCCTAGAATATAAACTGGACGTAAGAGGAACAGAAACCATACACGCCCCCAACAGAGATAAGAACTGAATTCAAGTCCCATTTTATAGACTTCAAAGATTATTTTCAGAACTTATGTCCTCTGGAACTAGGGGGTTGTATGTGGCATTTAGGAATTGGTTTGGCCTCCAATTTTTATTCTGTCATCAAGGCAGAGGGGTCCACTAAACAGCTGTAGTTCTTGGGGGTGAGCTGGAATAGTGTGAGAATTCTCTAACCTTGTACATCCAAGAAGGACCAGGAGGGTAGGTACAGAAAAAAAGAACAAAAACTAGTTGTTGACTTTGATTTGCCATATCCTACAGTCCATTAAAGCTCAGATCTCTCAAAAAGGGAAAAAAAACCTGGCTGAAAAAGCAAGCATGGCACAAATAAAGCCGTCTTCTTTCCAGACAGCAGCCTGTTCCTGCTGCCTCCTTTGGATATAGTTAATGCTCCATATAATCCTCCCATGGGATGTGTGAGCCCCAACCTAAAGCTGCCTCACAGAGCTAGTGTTAGACATAGAGAAGAGTCAAGCTCTTTACACATCTGCATCCAATCTAGCTCCTTTTCGCCAAAAAAAAAAAAAAAAGGATGGGGGTGGGGAGGACAAATAGACAAGTTTAACTCTAGTACCTAAGAACCTGTGAAAGAAACAATTCAAGTTACAGACCAGGAATCCCCACTGTGGGGAACAGGTCAGAGAACAGCAAACATATCAAATATTAACTTATTTACCAAAAAGGGAGTGGAGGAAGGGTAGGTTAAATTTTTATAAATCCTGGGGGTTTTATACAGAAACAGACACCCTTCTACCCCCTCCCTCTCTAGATTCGATCAGTTGACATTTCCAATAATGATACACCAAAATGGGGTATCAGAGTAATCACTTAGAAAAATGAGTTTTTACCCCATCTGGAGCTCAGGAGAGAAGGGGCTTTGCCATGATGTTCAAATTCTTGTGTTCTGGTCCCTACATAAAGAATAGCTGCTTGAATTACCCAGCTTCTCCTGTGAGATCCTAGTTCTTTGTTCCCATGGCCCAGAAAGCTCAGTATTCAGCACTATGCAGCCTCCTCTGCCCAAGACCCTACAAACCCAGATCAAAGCTGGGGCTGTTCTCCTTGGTTCTGTTTCCCTTTTAAAAAATACTTGTACTAACAATCCTTTCCCACCCGCTCCCCACAGACCCAAATAAAATGACATGGGAGCAGCAGCTGCTTCTACAGTTTTGTTTTGAAATGGCGTTAGATAAAATAAGGGAATAAATAGAGAATGGGTAAGAGGCAAAACTCCCCACTCCACATCACACTGTCAGAGGGAGTTCTACTGCAGAGTCCTCAGGGGACCGGTCCTCACTCTGCTGGGAGGTCTTCTCTACGCCACAGCCCTCTTCATTGTCCACGCAGAAGGGGAGGCTTGAGGGGGACCATGAGGAGTGGAAGTCATCATTCTCAGGATCCTCAGGGTTACAATCTTCAGGCAATAGCGCTTCTAGAGTGGGTGTTTTCCCTACCTCTGATTTACAGAGGGCAGCTGGGTCTGTGGGGCTGCAAGCCACCAGTGAGGTAACAGGGAGAGAGAAGACACTAAGATCCTTCTCCTTGGGGAAAGGGGGTGGGGCCTCTTCTGTACCAGGCTCTCCTTTCACCCCCAAGACTGGCCTCTGCTCCACCTGATAATAGACCAGGGGCCCACTGTTCAAGTAGGATGGGTTGTTCACCGTTGAGGCAGTTGGGTGTTCCGAGTTCTCAGCAAAACACAGGACGGAGGAGCCCGGGGGCAGCTGAGCCTGGATGAGAATGGGGGCTGTGAGGCCTGGGCATAGCTCTTCAGGAACAGCCAGGGGCTCCTCCAGGATGCACACACCCAGGCTCTCGATACTGGAGTCCAGGCTGGCACTCGAGCCGCTGGAGTCTTCCTCTGCCTTGAGCCGCTCCAGTTCCTCTGCACTCTGCAGGTGCATCACAGCTGTCTCATTCTCAGCAATGAACTCCTGGAAGTCCTGCGTTTCAGAGCCCTGTGCTCCTGGCAGGCTGCAACTGGCAGTGGGTGAGGGCTCCTCATCTGGGGCTGGTAGGCGGCTCACCTGCCGCTTGCTCTCTAGCTCCAGCTTCATGATGGTGTGGAGGTAATGAGTCCGGACCCGGATTGGATTAAATTCAATGCGCCCTGCCATGTTCCCACAGCCATCCCGGGAGCAGCCACATGGAAAGGACATGCGATCCACCTGAGGGAGGAGACAAGGAGTTGAGGCAAGATGAGACCAACACATCTAACAACGGAGATAGGAGACATGAGCTGGCAAATAAAGGCAGTTGCGATTTGAGGTCTTCCTACAAGAAGAGAAGTAACCAGTTCAAAACATAACATGCAGTGTGAGCTAACGGCACTAGATGAATTATTACACCACTTGCATTTCAGTTCCAGCTCAGCTATTAGTAGTGTGACCTCCAACAAAGTTATTTATCTTTCTAGGGCTTTATTTCCTTTTCTAACCAGAAGGTGGACAAAAACTGTCAAAGGGCTCTTGCAGTTAAAAAGTCCAGAGATGCCATCTTTCTGAATGTTGACAATACAGTTGTCAGAGTAGAAGAAATTTAAGTGCCTCAGAGACCTTTCCAGAACTCACCTGGTTTACTGAGATGGGACAAAAGGCTGAGGTCCAAGCCTAATGCCTTCTGCAATCACAGGCATGAGAAAGGGTCTGGAAGATCTTGCTAGCCAAAGCAATACCTTCTGGGGAAACTGAGCAAAACTGCCTTAGTTTGCTAAGGTGCTACAGTGAAGGTTCAAAGTAACGGCCAGTGTATTTTATTCCTCACTAGCTAGTTTAGTTCTGAAGCAGTTACCAAGATAATTAACTTACAGACCAGGAATATCTAGAAAGGAAATGCTTTCTACTTCCTTATTTCCTTTTGGACTCCCAAAAGGAAAAAAACACACATACCAAAAAAATAAAACGTTAAAAACCCAAGTAAGCAAATAAGCATATGCAAATACACAATGTCTTCCTACAGTGTCAACTTGTAGAACTCTCCACTCCAGTTCCAGCAGTTCTTAGGCTGGTCCTCAGGTCTGTAACAGACTGACTCATTATGGGACTTCAGTCTGAAAAGCATATTTGGCCAGATTCACTACAGCTATGTTACCTATCTAAAAATGAGAAAAGGTTGGTTAGGTTAAATTCACCTGCAAAGACTCAGCATCCTTCTCTCTAAGACACATCTTGAGTATAGAATCTTCAGATAAATTTCATTCTTTGGGATGATACTGCTACTTCTAATTGAAATGACTCCCCCAAACTGATGCTTTCTATCTTTCAGGACACTGTGGATTTAAGCCCTGCCAGGCCAAGTATAAATCCAAATTAAAAAAATTGCTGTCAGTCAGTTCTGACTCATGGCAATCCCACGTGTGTCAGAGTAGAACAGTGCTCCATAGGGTTTTTTTTTTTTTTAACTTAAAAATTTTTTTTTTATATTTTATTTTGTTGTTATTGAGAATATACACAGCAAAAACAACCAAGTTTCTACATGTACAATTCAGTGACGCTGATTACATTCTTTGAGTTGTGCAACCATTCTCTCTCCTTTTCTGAGGTGTTCCTCCCCCATTCTCCATAGGGTTTTCAGTGTCTTATTTTTTGGAAGTAGATCGCCAGGCCTTTCTTCTGAGGTGCCTCTGGGTGGACTTGAACCTCCAACCATCCAGTTAACAGCCAACCACGTTAAGTGTTTGTGCTACTCAAGAGACTCCATGATCCTGAATTACAGGACCTGAAAACTATTTGAATTTTTACAAAATTGAAGTAGTGGTACTGTGAATAAGTGTTTGCAGATAGAATCTATAGGCCCACCTCATTGTCTCAAGGAGTCAGTCACTATTTAAGGAACAGCCATTAAATGTTGAACATACTAATCATTATTCCTCCATTTGCTGACAGTGGCTTCCTATCACCTGAGGTGTGAAACACAGAAAAGATAATAGATAACCCCACAGACTGAGAATCCTGTCCTGCTTGTTTTCTCTGTTGATGGAGGAGGCTTGTGGAACGGGGAGTGTTCACAGTTATGGGGAATCCCACCTCTGGATGGGCAGCCTCCCATGCTCACTGGCACCCACACCACACCCCCTGGCCCTGGTGCAGATACACCATCTGAGGCCAACTTGGACTGACCTGGCATTTAATCCCAGCCTGGCTGCAGGCACATGCTTCTGGGTCACAGTACAGTCGACAGTCACAACCACATTCTTCCCGCGAGAGGCGGATGGCTCGTAGCTCCTGTTTCTCTTCAGCATCAATGCGGTGGACTCCAGAAGCCCTCAGCAGGGCTCGTCGCCGTTTGGTGGGCAGAGGCTGCAGGAAGAAGTAATCATCCACCTCCACATTTTCCACATCAATATCTTCATCTGAAACATCATCCAGGGTCAGGCCATCAGCCTCCACCGACTCCACTGTCCCATTCTTGGTCAGCTGCCAAGAGACGGGTAAGGTTAGCTTCTTGAGCATTATCAGCACAAGCATCTTCATGGTGATATCTAAAGCAGCACTGTCCAAAAGAATTTTCTCTGGTGATGGAAATGTCTGCACTGTCCAATAAAGTAGCCATTAGCTACATGTAACTATGAAGCACCTGAAACATGGCTAGTGTAACTGAGGGACAGAATTTTAAATTTTATTTAATTAAATTTAAATATCCACATATACATATAACATATTATATACTACAAGTCAAGAGAATAAATCCTGAAACAGGAAGTCTGACAGGAAGCCTGATGCAACTCTAACACTACCTATCAACACAAGGGACATCAGATTTTGGGTCCAAGTTTCCCAAAATTTTCCCCTGCCTCATCTTCCCATTCAGAAGATACTCTATTCCCACAAACCTATCCTCTATTCCCAGACTCGTTTCCTTTATCTTAGGCTCCCTTGCCCTCGTAACACAGAGGAAATGGTCTATCAGTGGCTGGATCTTCCTTAGATGCAAATTAAAGGGTGTTTTACAAGATAACCTTGCAAAACACCCTTTAACTTGTACCACTGAACCCAAAACCACCTTCTGGGAAAAATGGCACACTGAAGTACAGAACAAGGCCACCAGGTCTTCTTCAATGAGCCTGAATCCCCACAATGTGAACAATTATCTGTGCATACACAGAGAAGCCTCATTTTACTGGGAGGAGGAAAAATAAGCCAATTATTAACAGCAGTCAAAGCCCCTGCTTCCAACCTAAGGCCCGGAAGAAATGTATTCTTTCTCCTTTCTAATTCTTAACTTGATTTCAAAGAAAAGCTGTATCTGAGGTAGAGTGTATATATAATACTGAGTATACTACTTACAGGCAGAAATCTGGGTTCTATGATGGCTGGAGAGCCAGGAAAGGGAGTCTTAATGGAAGGACAGGTTGAAGAGAATCTGTGGCTCAATGAGTTTTGAAAACTCACTGGAGAATTCAAGTAAAGGAAATGAGGCCTCATAATCCCTGGGGCTTTGGAAGCTGCTAGCAGTGTGCAAGCCAATAACTGGAAGCTTTGGTTCATTTCATCAGAACCACAGAGTAGTGCTGGTGAAGGAGCAACTCCTGGGAGAGATGTGATGCAATAACCTGGATTAATAAGCTGCACATCAGGTTTTAGTTTGGGGTTTTTGAGGGGGCTGGGGCAGGGGAGGTGGTAGAGAAATGAGGAGAGAAGTAAAATGGGATTTCTGGGGTTCCCTAGTCTGTACAGGCAGGCCAACTACCAGGGGCCTCTCCACAGACCTTGGGGTTGCTCCTGTCTATGTCACCAGTGTTGGCGTCCTCCTAATCACCCTCCCTCCTGCTAGCCTCTCCAAGGAAAAAGACTGAGATGCAACAGAAAGAAACCCATGTAGATAAGAGAATTTAATATATCTTGATAGAGGAGGCCTTTAAAATCAGTGAGGGAAGAGTCTTCTAGCCATTAAATGGTACTGGGACAACTGGATATTCTTTTGAAAAGAAATACTGTTAGATTCCCAATTCACACCATTCATAATAATGAATTGTATGTGAGTAAAGGGCCAAAATATTAAAAAAAAAAAAAAAAAAATACAAGTATTAGAAAAATTATAAGTAACTAAAGTTGCAGAGCACCAAACAGCTATTGGTGATGGCAGCCCAAAAGGAAAGCAAGCATTAGATGGCACATGAGAGTTGCCAAATATATATTTTTGAGACCAATTACCTCCCCTCTAGGAGTCCCTGGGTGGCAGAAACAGTTAAGCGCTGGACTACTGACTGAAAGGTTGGTGGTTCAAACCAACCCAGAGGCACCTGGGACATAAAGCCTGGCGATCTGCTTCCAAAAGGCCACAGCCTTGAAAACCCTACGGAGCAGTTCTACTCTGCACACATGGGATCGCCATTTGTCAGAATCGGCAACTAACAACAACAATAAGACTTCTCTACAGAGTGCTAAAGACAGGAGAAAGTTCTACGGAAAGAGTAAACTGGACCTGGGAAGGGCAAAGTAAGGGTTTTCTCTTGACATGTAAAGATGTCTAAGATGCCACCACTGCTACTGCCCACTAAATCTGCTAATAAGTAGGAATCCTGTAACTCAGTCTTGGGTTTGCCTGACCTTGCCCCTAGAACTCCTAAAAGGGGGGCCACAGAACAGGACGGTCTCCTGTTTTGACAGGTCATTCTTCTACCAGATTTAGGAGACGGGAGGTTTCTTCTACGGAGAGGGAAGAAAGCCTCCATTGCCCAGCTTATTTGCCCAACTGTTGCCATGGCAGCAGTAAGGTAATGGGGTCAGTGATGAATTCCTCAGACAGAAGGAAGAGAAGTCTGAATATAGTACTAGTTAGAAAAACAGGTGTAAGGCTTTAGGAGCAGGCTGAGGGAAGCAGACGTAGAGCTCTCAAAGGGAGAAAGGAATGAGATCTGGTCAGCCTACATCCTCTGCCTCTACTTCTCTAACCCTACAACATTCGGGTGTGTCTTATTAGAATTTCACCCAAGACACTGGATATAATGCAGCCACCTGTTTTCATATGGGCCAACTTGGCCAGGCCTAAAGCAGTGCTCTCCAAATTTGGAGCCAAAAACTCTGGGGGAAATTTTTGAGGACTGGGCGGAAACTATGGCTGTGGAGCACGAAACAGTGGTAAAATAGCGAATCGGTGGCTATAAAGACCCATCTGAGATGGGTCTCTCCCTGCCCCTTTCACCTCCTCAACTTGTCAAGTTGGTGCCGTATCAGATGAAGGCACAGTACCATACAACTCTAAGTAACGGTTTGGTAATGCTGTTGTCGCATCTAGAAAACTATGACCTAGGAGCAACAGGTTATAGAAACAGCGGGACTCCTTCAGAGAAAGTAGAAGATCCAAAACTTGTTCCACGCATCAGGGCAGTGGACAGTCATTTGACAAGAATTTGAAACACTGTGTTTCCTCAGGCACCAGAGGTGGCAGACGTGAATGCCTCTAGGTATTCATATCTTAAACTTCTAAAAAAATTGGGGAGGGGGGGAACGGGTGAAGGGTGGGAAATTCTAGGGAAGCCATTTTGCTATCTCTGGTAGTCTCCCCACCAAAGATGAAAAGAAGGGAGCCTCAGACTGAGATTTGATTCCAAATCTGAGACTTCTCATTAGAGAGATTTGGAGTCTGGGTAGAAATCTCTACATGCCAAGAATAACTGTCAAATCAAAAATCAATGGACCTAATGTGAAGCTAGTTGAAATGTCAAATGTTTTGTTACCTATACATTTACCACAATTAAAAAAAAAAAAAAAAAAAATCAATGGACCTAGACAGTTTCCCACTTTATCTTGGCACATGGGAAGGACCTGACCCTAGACCCCGTAGGCACCTTCATCTTCTTGGCATGGAGTTTCTCCTCCTTCAGGTGCTCACGAAGAATCTCCCGATGGTTCACCTCCTGCTCTTGGGCAAACTCACAGAGTGTGTAGCTGCGTACGGAGTTATGGCGCTGGGCCATGCCCAGAGAGCTGCCACCTTGGCTGGGCACACTGGTGAAACCCTGGCGCCGGGCAAAGTAGTATACAGTCACCTGGTCAAAGCGCACATTCTTCCTCCGCAGCTGCTTCTGCCGCTTCAGGATGGATGTGGCTGAGGAGGAGGGCAGAGCAGTGTTATTAACCCAGAGATGGCCTGTTTGGGGACCTCGCTCTTTCTCATCCACCTAGGTTCTTAACTCCTCTTTTCCAAACAGGCTCCCTGTTCCTAGAGACCTTTCTAATTTTCAAATCATAAATGCACAGTTGGAAGGGACCTTGAAAATCCACTGGTCCAAACCACTGCCTCTAGACTGACCTCACCTAAGCAGATGACCACAAAATCTATTTTCAGACATCAGCCGGGAAGAGGAGCTCTAAGTAATCTTTTCAGGACATAACCTATAGCTATACTGTCCAATATAGCAGCTGCTAGCCACATGTGGCAATTTAAATTTATATTAATTAAAATTAAAAATTCAGTTCTTTATTCATACTAACCATATTTCAAGTGCTCAATAGCCACATATGACTAGTGGCTACAGTACTGGACACTGTAGATATAGAACATTTCTATCATAACAGAAAATTCTATTCGACAGTATTGATCTATAGCAGGGGTCAGCAACTTTTTTTCTAAAGGGCCAGGCAGTAAATATGATAGGCTTTGCAGGCCATAAGGTCTCTGTTGCACCTATTCAATGCTACCATTGTAGCGTGAAAGCAATCACAGACAGTATGTAAACAAATGAATGTGGCCGTGTTCCAATAAAACTTTACTTACAAAAACAGGCCATAGGCCAGATTTGGCCCATGGACAACCACTGACCTATAGTATCGGAAGTTCTTTCCAAGAACTAATTGAACTAACCATAAGAATTAAGAAGTCTGGATTTACCCCAGACCCCAATTGTCCAGGCAGTAAGCATTTATGTCCTGCTAGAGCTACAATTTCCTGGAACGCTATGGGACTCTGGTGGGAAAAAGTAGAGCGCCAAGCACCTTCTTCAACATAGTTCAACTCATTCTGCACAAGTAAAAGCAGCTAGAATAAATGAGACTTGAGTCTACAATACTAGAGCAACAAACTCTTCCAAGAACAAGGTTGTGCTAAGAGTAGGAAAGATTATGATTAAAGCCAAATCCCCCAGCTGGGCAGAAGAAGCTGCCTCAAGAGTTACAACCAGGGCTCTGATGCTTAGGTGCAGGCAGGGAGGGAGCAGCTCACTCACGTGTGAAGCTGGCAGTTGTTGGAGGATTGAGGCTGTCACAGCTGTCAGCACTGTCACTACTGGAGATCTCATCATCTGAGTTGGAAATGGACGAGCCCACATCCACTTCATCAAACTTCCTCTTGAGACCAGAGCCCGTGAATGCATCCATTGGCTTCAAAGGGGTGTCCTTGGGGAACCCACCACGTTGGCCCCAAAACCCCTGCTCACCACCAGCTAGCCAGGTGCATTAGGATTCTGCCCAGGGGAGAAGAGGAATCAGCATTCCTGTCCTAAGACAGGCCCCTGCCAAGTCTACACATACAGCGCTCTAACTGAAGAAAGCACCTGAGCCAGCAGTGATGGCTGGTCTCTCCAGACTAGGTCATTTCTCTACTGATTCCAGCCAACATCCTCCTACCTTTTGTTTCCCCTCAGCCCCTCCAGTCTCAACCACTCTTAGAATACTGAGATAAGTAGCAACACCACCTTTCCCAGTGGAGTTAAGGCCTTTGGTTCTAAGCCAGCTGGGCTCTAGGCTTCATTAGCCCAGGGATAACAGTAGCTGCTCTTCTGACCACACAGATCTCTCCAGGGGGCCAGTAGGAGGGACTGGGGATCAAAGGCAGAATTAGGCTTTACCTAAACCTAGACTAGACCCAATTATTTTTCCTAGTGATAATGTAGCTTGGCATTTCCCAAAGTGTATACCTTAAATACACTAGTTCCAAGGGTATTAATAGCTTTTACATGGAAATAGGACAGCTGTGTCAAAATAGTTTAGAAAACTGTTTAGGCAGAACCTCTTAGAGTCTTTAAATATGCTAATGAACATGGTAAAGGGTGGGAGAAAACACAGAATGCAATGGTTATGGAATCCTTTGTTTCCAGAGTATCTCAGGGGGCAAGTGATCCTTGGAACACACCTTAGGGAACACTACTTTAGACTCTCAATTTCTAAGGATGTTGGCAGCCGGGAAAACCCTTTACCCAGACCTTCACAAGTATGAAGTGTCTCATCAGGCTCCTAAAAAGGTCAAATTTGGTACTAGAGAATGGATGGAAGATACCAATCTGCACCGGTTTCAAAACCCACAATCTTTCCCAATCTCATACCACTCCATAAAATAGGGCTCATCTGATCTAGCATCATCCTCTGTGCAATGAAAGATAGCTTTACAATCTTTGTCCTCTGTAAAGCCAGCAAGAGAAAACAAATAGCAAAAGCGACAATTTACTGATTACATCAATATGGCTGACAGTTTTTTTTTTTTTTAACACAACCAAGGAGTCTTGAGATAGTCCACTTCCAAGGTACAAATCTTTTTTTCCTTCTCCATCTTTGGACTTAAGTTCCAGAAGGACATGAATCTGCTCTATAGAAATGCTGTCAGAGCTTGAGCCACGTGTGATGAGGTATGAAGCCTCCCTTGCTTTGCTTCAGTAATGCCAGAATATCCCCAGACTGTGATCTCACTAGTTGCTAATTATGCAGCAGGAATAACAACACTGCTCAAAAAGACAGGGCTGCATTACTGCAGAGCAGCTAACCAGAATATACTATGGTGGCAAGAGACGCCTGCTGCAGAGCTGTTTTTCTCGACTGTCTTTCTCGGAAGCAATTGGCCTACTCTTAGATCAGCTCTACATAGTCAACCAGATCTAATAAGTACTTTAGAGAAGATATTTCCTACCCGAATCTATCTATCCAGATCTCATCAAAATTCTCCATTCAAGTAACAAATTGTACCTAAGAAATATCAGCCTTCCTAGGTCACAGACAAGCGCACTCCTGAAATAAATTTGGCCAGGGAGGAAAAAAATAATCAAGTATTTTGATAAGAATTGTAATTAAACTTAAAAAACAAGTACAAAGTACCAGTTCTGTTCTTCAAATTACTGATCCTGCTATTAGAGGTCACATTTCTAGGACACGGTAAGAATAGACAAAGCCAAGGACATTTTTATGGGTTAAGATTTCAGATGAGTTTAAAGATACCTATTAACTAACAAATTTCCCATTTCATTCTGTTATTGGGGGAGGGGGCTTATAGTTGAGTATTTATGTGGGTGGGTTAAAAAAATAATAAAAATGTTGACCATTAAATGTAAGTTCTATTTTCCTCCATACTTAAGAAATATCAACCACCTGAGAAATCCAACTGAGCTGAAAATCTGCTTTCTCAAAAAGGGCTTGTGCAAGTCACAGCTTCAGTTTTAAGTGAGCTTCAGTCACTGCTGCTACTAGGCACGTGGCTTTTTCCTCAGCCTGGAGGCACTCAAGGATTTATGACTAAAAGCAAATGTGCACTCTTGTTCTTTGCTCAGGTGTTCCCTTTGCTTCCAAGAGTGGGCGGATTCCATTTGAGTATTTCTCTTTAAGTCCCACAGGAGCTTGGGTCTGGTCCAAAATCATCTTTATTGCTAAAATTCTCCACTGTCTTAACCCAGCTGCTGCCAGGGGTTATCATTTCTCTTAGGGTTACATTTTGTGTACTCTCGTGCAGCAGGGATTGCTGGCTGCCGTTTCCATTCTCCTCCTCCCTTTTTTCTATGTCTTCCTCACTTCCATTTCTGAAATGGTGGTTTCTGGGCAATGATGGGGATAGGTGAGAAAGAAGGAAAAAAGAAAAAAAAAGGTGTAGAATCTAGGAGAAAAATATTTTCCTTAAACTGCTAGAGAATAAACTGAAGCTATGGCTATCTGTGTAAATAATGTGCACACTGACCTATAATCTAACTATTCCTTTAACTTAGATGGCACTCAGGAAAATCCTCAAGGAGACCCCACTGTTCTAGGTCTCTCCACCCTGTTAGCATCTCTTTCTCTGACATGAACCTCATTACAATGACCAAAAAAAAAAAAATCTATTCTGTCCTGACAACTGATACAACTTTAAATTTCAGCCCAGCTCTCTTTGTCCAACTCTCTGGTATGAACTTGACCTGTTAAGATAAAGATGTTCACTGGGCACCAAGAACAGCAACCCCTCATCCACTTCCACTGTGGCTTGAAGAGATCTTTCTTTGCAATAGCAACAATGAGAATAAGTTCCACACTTTTCTACTTCATCAAATAATCTCCTTTCAAACTACAACTAAAAGTCAGTTATCTCACCTCTCTCACCTGTTCATTTGTAGAGGATCAATGCCTGTGTTCAACAGATACACTTATCCTAAGTTATAATCTACTCACTTAAAATCCATACAGAAATAATGAAGGTGAGACTGGAGTTGCAAGTCATAACTTACAGTTAACTGTCAAAATGACCAATTCAAACAACAAATGATTTTGGAGAAAATGATGCAAACCTCTATAAAAGCTTTTAAATGCCAGTGAAAAGAAATGTCAGCTGACGCTTTCTGGCTACATGCCTTACCGTCTTTTCCCAAGTGTTTCTAACTGAACATTTCCCAAAGGTATATGAAATACTTCAGATCTACAAATATACAGAAGACATTTGGCTGGCACCAAACGAAATACATCTACCAGCATATCTGTATTTTAGTAGTAGATCTGAGTTTTTGCAGGCTTGTGAGGATTCCTAACAACCACTAGAAAACAGCGTATGTGAAACTAGCAAAGGAGGGACTGCCCAGGAAAAAAATCTGTGAATGCAGAATGTACATGCAAAGTTTAGGTAGTGTAGGCCTCTCTCTTAAATGAGTCCAAAATAATAAAGTACATTTCACAGGAGAAAGACTCTCCACTGGATTGGAACCCAACCTTCAGCTAAAGGTCAAGAGGCCAAAATCTCTAGTAAGATTGGTAGCGCCACCATCCATAGCTGGGTTAGAGGAAAAAAGGCTGGCTGCTGAGTGTTATGATAAACCTGAATAAAATGACCTGTCCTGTTTCTCCTTTTAGAAGATGCTGTGATTGAAATTCTCAAATACTAGGAATTTCATGGACCCGTATGTCCTTGTGATCATGCGATCATGAACTTATTAAGCACTCAAGTGAAAACATCCTGTCTAAACTAGGTATTTAAAGAAAGCACTGACACCCCTCATCCCTCTTCTAACCCATTCACTGACACAAGTTTGGAATTTGGCTTTCCATGTCTAAACCACCATCATATGGGGGACACAAGGTCTTTGTGGGAGAAATGGAACATGATGCTGCAGGAATCTTCACCTCCACTCATTTGTAACTCTGCAAACACCAACATCCTGGCTTTGGAGATTTGCAAGATGTAAAGTAAAGGAAAACCTGAATCAACTACGGGTTTACTTTGAACTGAAAACTGCAGGACAAGGGGACAGTGTACCTCTTGGGGATACCTTCTAACATTTCATACTGAAGAATGGTTTGTGTGTCAAACTGCCACTCTAAACCCTTTTAAAAGGATGAATCAAGACCGTGGCACTAAAAGGGATGGGTTGCAGTCAGCTGCGTGTTTAGGGCCTGTGAAAAAAGAGCAAACTAGGAACCAGGGCAAGTGATGCTTTCATTTTCCCACACAACGCCAGAAAAATGGGAGATATCAGGAGCTGAAGGGACATGTCATCAGTTTCCCTCAATGGACACCCCTGCTGAACCCTTCAGGTCTGGGCCCATTTCTCTTTGATTCCTGCTAACCTTCCCGCTCATTCCAATCGTCTGCAGCCCCGACCCAGCCCTCCTCATCCCTTCCTGCCTGCTACTCACAAATTCCCAACCACTCCTCCCACATTTTCCTCTATTCCCCCTCCCCTTCCTTCACTTCCCTCCATCCTACATCATCTCCACGCCATTCCGAACTCAACCCTCTCCCGCAATCCTGCTGGCTTCCGAGCCGCCGATCGTCTTCCTCGAGCTGCCCCCGCAGCCCCGGCCCGCGTCCTCGGTTCCCCTCGCTCCCACGCCTCTTCCCGACTCTTCCTTCCCAGCGGCGCCCTCGCTCCCCGCCCCCCGACCGCTCCCGTCCGAGCCTCCCTCATTTCTGACCCCTCCATCCGCACGGCTCGGGGCTTGACCACTCCTCCACAGCCGCCCGAGGGCCGATCCCGAGAAAGGACGAGGCGGCACCCTCCGCCCCGCACCCCCAGGCCCATTACCGGCCCCGCCGCAGCTGCCTCCTCCCGTGATGGTCTCTGCCGCCCCCGCTGCCGCCGCCGCCCTAGCCCGGGTGAAAAAGATGGGGGAGAGAGCGAGTCCCGGGCCCCGTGGCGACGGTCGGGGAGCTCCCAGGGCGGCAGGCAGGGAGGTGGGGGCGGCTGGGCAGGCCAGCCGGCAGACGGCGGGGGGCGGGCGGCTCCGGCAACTCCAGTGCCCCAGGCAGCAGCCGCCCAGAACCGCCCCGGCTCCGGCTAACAATAGGCTCCGGTCGCAGCGCTCTGGCTCTTATAGGCGCCGGCACGTCCCGGCCGAGCCCCGGGGCAGGCTGGGAAATGGAGTCTACGTGCCAACCCCACGTCCAGCGGCATGCCGGGAGTTGGAGGCGGCGAAGGGTGCAATGCCGGGACTCTGCCGGCGAACCGGCTCGGGAGGCGGGGTTTCTGCTGAAGCGGACCCTGGGAAAGCGAGTTTGAGGCCGCTGCAGCCTTTTGAAGGGGAAGAGAGGAGACCCTCAGCCTACAGATCTTCAATGCCTAAACGAATTCTCCAGGGCTCCCATTTTTCTGTTTCCAGGACATGGAGCCACACTCCCATGCGTAAAGATCATAATTCCCCTTCTGCTACCTCATGGATTCTTAGTCTTCAGCAACCTGACTTGCTGTTGCCTGCCCGAGGTATGGAGAAAAACATACAAATAACTGTTATTTATTGAGTTGTCTACTTATGTGATGGACTGATTTAGACATTTTCTTTCTTTCGTTTTTTAAAACATTATGTCTGATCTTGACAACTTTGCAAGCCCGCCCCCCCTTTTTTTGGAACGCATTTTTAAGATGGGGAAAACGAAGACTCAGAAATTATATGTGATTAGCCGAGGCCACAAAACCTTGGTTTCTTATCTGACTCAGAATAGTAGTATATGTCTCTTCCTTGACCTACAAGGCTTTAAAGGATCTAGGTGCATCTTCTTTCCCCTGTCCCGCCATCCTACCTATCATCTCGGTTCCTTCTATTTTTCCCCTCCCATTCTCTGCTTCGGAGCCCTGGTCAGTACTATGTAAATGTTAGCTGTTTTTATGATGTTTTCTATTCAGATGTTCAAGAGGTTCTGTTCACGTGTTTTTCCTGGACACACAGAAGACAAAAAGAAGACCCCTGACCACTCTGTAGAATCAACCAACAGGCCATGATGAGTAGGCTGAGGAAGTGTCTCAAATGCCTAAACACTTAGAGTTGTAGAAATTAGGGCACCATTGACCCCAATGCCAAAGATTTGTTGGTTAATGCCACCGCACTAGAAGATAGCCAAACCAAGGTTAGCACATCCTTTGAGAAGACAGCAGAATCCAATATGGCAACAAGCTCTAAATCAGTCAAAAAATCTGAGAGTAATAGAAATGTTGACACTTCATGGCTATGATATTTGGACTTCTAACAAACATCACAACAATTTATCACAGTCACTTATTCACCATATTTTGTTGTCATGATAGAATCACTAGGTAAGTTACTAGCATGCTGACAGTTTGCCCATAATAACTGCAATTCTGCTCCAGCCTAAGCAGAGCCTATGGAAAGCAAGTGTCAGGCAGTTGTCCAGGAAGCTCAAGTGCAGTAGAATACAAACTACAAAGAAAAGTGAGAAGAAATGCTAATAATATTAACATTAATAATTACAACACTGGACATCCAATTCCAAATGTTACTGCTTGTCCCAGACCACACTGCAATGTACGTGTGGACTAGCTTGGAATACATAAAACACGGATGGGTGGTTTCTTTTGGGGGCAAAGACGTCAAAGCAGAATAGGAGAAAAAGACATATGACCAAGAATAGGCATTGCAAACAGCTGCCACAGATGAAAACCAAATGTCAGATTTCATGTCTTGGCAGTGTTTACACATCGGTCTTGCATACGTCCTCCATACGTCTACATGTGGAGGTGCTCTTATTGTCAACAGTATCCTAAGTTTACTGAGCAACTGAATAGATGTTAGGCACTAAAACTGTGTTTTACACATATCATTCCTTTTAACTCCCAACAATCCTATGAGTATTATCTCTCCTTTTTTTTAAGATAAGAAAGTTGAGGCTTGAGAGATTATTTTGTCCAAGGTCATGTCCAGAAAGAGCGAGATCTGGGATTTGAATGCAGGCCTATCTGACCCGAAAAAGTGTACACTGTATCGACTATCACTTACCACCAAAAGATAAATCAGAATACACTCTCCAGAAAGGTGAAAATAAATAGGAGAGAGGACATTATGTCCTGATCTTCTTACAGAAAAAAGAATTAAGATGAAATTCTAAGCAATTCTATTTGCTTTTCTGATATGGAGCCTGTAGATTTATCCCTGAAGTTGTATGTTACTGTCCTAATTCTATACTAACAGAAAAGAGACCAGTATGTGCAAATCTGGAAAAAAGATGGCCCCACGACACAAACAACAAAAAAGCTGTATGAGTGGAATCAAGGAAGAAGGTCTTAAAAAGGACATGCACAAATTTATCTATATATGTGCATAATACACACAAACACACCGAGCCTATTTAAAAAGCAAAATAGCAATCAGGTTTGAGAGGGTGAAGTACAGGGATGAGTTTAGAGAGGGCAAGCTTAATAAGCTCAACAAGGTGAATAAAAATCTGAAGCAAGGTTATAAAGATGTCTAAGGAAAGATATTAACTAAATCCTTAATGAAAAATCAGACAGAGCTCAAGAAGAAAACAGCAATCTGCAGTGATTAAAATGAGGAATGTGTACCTCAACTTAAGCAAATCCAATATATGAAAACATACATTCACGTAAGATAAACTAGTTATTACTCGTGTTCCAAAAGATTCCATGCAGTACAAAATGGAGACACAATAGCATTATTTTAAATAGCCCGTTCCCTTATAATTGACCTGAATCCAACTGAAAAATTTAAGTCATATACAATTTTAAATCTGAATTTGAAAATGGAAATGCTAGATCTAGTTGCAATTGTCAAGGTAACATTACTATCATAGCTTAGATCTATGTTCTCAGAGAACAACACAGAGTTGGAAGTGAGGAGGCAAGATGTAGAAAGAAAAGGCAAGAAATGGAAATGGATGGAAGTTCAAGGTCAAAAGTAAAAAAACAAGGTCATTAAAAGAAGCAAGAAGGAGAAATAAAGGATTAACGATGTAGAAAAAACAGGTGCTGATGGCATTAATCTCAAGTCACACAGAGCGCCTTTTCCAGCTCATTCCATTTTGCAGAGTTCTCCTCATTTAAGCCTTAGAGTTGATATAATGAAACAAACCTTTAATCACAAACTAAAAATAAGTATTTTAGCAGAAAAAACCTTATCCCACTACTCAGAAAATAGAACATTTACAGGAGCAGGAAAATGATGCATGATTATTCTACATGAACCACACCCAAACCAAGCCGTCGCCATCGAGCCGATTCCTACTCCTAGCGACCCTATAGGACAGAGTAGAACTGCTGCCCCCTAGGGTTTCCAAGGAACAGCTGGTGGATTCGAACTGCCAACTTTTGGTTTGCAGCCGGGCTCTTAATCACTGCGCCTCCAGGGCTCCTATTCTACATGAATTAGTATATAAATGATGCAGCCAGGTAGGGCATCTGTGCAGTTCCTGTTGAGCTTGGAGTTCTCACCAACAGACCAGAAGGGGCAGTAACAGATTAAATTCCTACGGCAAAACCATCCATGGCTAAGGAAGCAGACTAACAAAGGTTTCAGTAAAATGATAAAGTGGCTCTTCAGTTTCAGCTCTCTAGTCCCAAATTATGTGGAATTGTTAGGCAATGGCCAGAGAAACAAGCTACAGTGAAGAGGGAAAAGCTTGGGCCTGACTTCAAACATTTGCAGTCCAAATTTGTGTTACTTTCAAAACTGAATGCAGAAGCATTGTTCAGTCCTTTATGTTGGTTTGCAAAACAGTCCAAATCTCTGCAGCAACCCTACAAAATACTATATTGGAGTACTTGGGGATACAAAGGGTTTTGAGAACACTCCTTCATTAAGCATCAATCAGAAATGTCTGGTCCCTTTATTCCAAGCCTTTTTCACATACCTCAGGTTTCCCGATGCCTCTAGAGGCCGTGTGCCCCTCCAGCTCACAGTGGTGACAATCATGATCATGCTCTGCCCCTAAAACACAGTGTCTGACAGTTCCTGACTTCTAGGGATCTGCCCCTTATGTGGACCTCTCTTTCTCAGGTCTTTCACAGATCTGGTTGTCTTTTATTTGTATACTGTAATCTGTTTCCAGCCAATGCAACCATCTCCCATTTCAATAGCTTCTTAAAATAATTTATGTAAGCAAACATTCTTATTGGGCAGTAATACTGGGTAAAACAATATTACTAAACAGCCACATTTCACGCAGTTGACTAGTACTCAGTCCTTAGAGTCCTGCAATAACTCCCTCTTAACTATTAAGTCTTTACATGATATAAGAGTGGAATTCCATGTATCATTTGCCATTAAGCAAGAATCATAGATTCACAGATTTGGAAGAGACTTTAAAAGTCATCTAGTCCAACCTTCCCAATCTTAAAAAAAAAAAAAACACCAATAGTAGTCTGCTAAGGGGAAAGCTTCCTTCCCCTAGTCAGTCCTAGGAACATAACACAACTGGAAATGTCCCCCTAAAATGAGGACATCTAGTAATCATTCACTGAGAAAGTATTTTAGCCTAATATGTCAAGTTGCCCAAGTCATTTTTAAATAAGTCACTGACTTGTTAATTTTTCGGTTTCAAGGTTTTCAATTTGTTTAAAACCAAGAGGAATTACATGTTGCAGGTTGATTTTAATGAACAAAAATCTCTGTATAAAAACATTCAAGCTTTATCAAATGCTTTAAAAACACACACACACAAAACTTCAAAGCCAATACAGAATCTTAGAACATTATCTTTTTTCATGTCAGCATAATCTGGATAAAACTTTACAAGTGAAAAAAGACCACACTTACACACACACACACACACACACACACACACACAGGCATACAACCATTTTTAAGGAAGAACAAAAACATAACAGTTAGAGTGTGAATGAGATGGGAATGAATTTCTTCTGAAGCTCATATATATAAAATAACCCTACATGAATAAAAGAACTTCCTATAGCGAGAGGACACAGAGAGGGGAACACAGAGCAGGGATTAGCCTAACTCACTAATAAATAGTCTGAGAAAGTCATTCAAGGGCAGTGAATTTTGGGAGTTACAAACAATCCCTAGTTTTCACTGCCTCAAATCCTGCAAATCTGATAACTGTTAATGCTTACAAAGCATCTAGGTTTTCATTTTCTTGGAGGTCTTCATTTTTTTCATCATTATTTAGGTGTGGCTGTCCCCTTCAGTGGTTGATTCCTCAGTTCTCATGCAATGTTATGTCCTATTTGCCAGAAGAGCCACAGTAATAAATGATGGCAAGCACAGGCTATAAAGGGTGGCAGTATTGTGTGGTGGTTAACAACCAGATTGCCTGGGTTTGGATTTGGGCATCACTACCTGCTAGCTGCCATTATGTTGCAAATTACTTAGCCACCATGTGTCTAAGTTTCTTCATCTTCAGTTAGGGGTCATAATAGTGTTTACTTCATAGAGGGTATTAAGATGACTAAAAAAGAGAAGCCATTTAAAGAACGTATCACATTGCCTGGCATAAGTTAAGTGTTGAGTTGATGTTGGCTAAAGTTACTGTTAGTAGTATTACCCAAAAACCAAAACCAAACCCAATGCTGTCGAGTTGATTCTGACTCAGTGACCTGCTAGGGAAGAGTAGAACTGCCCCGCCCCATAGGATTTTCAAGGCTGTAATCTTTACAGAAGCAGACTGCCACATTTTTCTCCAGCAGAGCAGCTAGTGAGTTCGAACCACCAACCTTTCGGTTAGCAGCCAAGCACTTTAACCACTGTGCCACCACAGCTCCTAGTAGATCACAGGGGAACAAAAAGAAAAATTCTATTCTATCTCTGTATGTCTCTCCTTTGATGAGGTTTTCAGGGGCCAATTGTGGCAAAAAGAGGAGATGCCTGTACATCTGATGCAAAAAAGATTGAAGATCTAGTCTTAGGAATATAGATGTTCATCTTTACATTAGAAAAAGATTACATGGCTCATATCACAAATTTAACATCTCTCCATAACACATCACACAATTTCCACCATCATTATGCCATACATATACTCTAAATGTGGAGTTTCTATTGATATTCAATAACAACAGGGTCCATAAATTGTAACTAAGAAGTAGCTGCAGAACTGCATGTTGAGCAGTGATCTGTATGTGCCACAAGAGCTTGGACCAACACAGAGGGCTGGGATTCTGCCTCCATGGCCCAGACTCCTCCACATACAGTCAGATAGGTCAGGTTCCTGCAGACCTTCAAACCTCCACTCATGTCCCTCTGCAAGAGGGGAGTTTCCAAGAGGTGAAGGAAGCATCAGACACTGAATGTGGAATGCCTCAGTTCTACTTCAGTATGATATGATAGCTATCGTTGGTTTCCGCTGTAAAACAAAAACAAAAAGAAAATAGAACGATCTTCAGTTACCCTTAAAACACAGAATGAGAAAAAAAATATGGTAACCTTTTTGGGAGGAGGGGAAAACAAAAATAACAGAGCTGAACAAAGGGCAGCATACGTGTTACTTAGCACAGAATAGTTTAATAAATATGTATTATAAAAACAAAATGCCTCTAGGGGGCACTGAGCTTCTGTTAAGGGTGATGGAAAAATCTGGAAATGGATAGTGGTGATGGTTGTACAACATGATGAATGTAATCAATGTCATGTAAAAAAATGTTGAAATGGCAAAAAAAGAAAAAAAAAAAAAGCTTCTATTTCCTCATTTGGTGGCTGATCCTTTCCCTATCTCTTCTCAAAGAATTTTGAAAGAAGCTCTTAAACTCCTTAGAGAAAGATATTTGTCTTATTATTTTATTACCTTTCATTGTGTCCAGAATAAAACAAGCTTCTTCCTGAAAGTTTTGTATCATCTGAAAAAAAGCAAGAAAATGTGACTATTAAAATCTTTAGCTTGCTGCATTTGTGTTGACTATGTGGCTTTTTATTACATCAGATTTCAATGAAAAATAATCCCTGTCTATTTCTGCATTCCTGAGGACTGCCCACATCCAGGGAGGTATAGATGGGAGTCTTTACTGTTCCTAAATACACTATTTTATGAATATCTGTAGAATCATAAGTTTCTACCCCGCAACTTTAAAAAGCCTTCTTAAAAGCCTGTTCTTGTTTGTGTTCTTCCGGCCCGCCCCTCCACTCCCGCCACCTGGTTTGGTTTTTTAATTTTTACAAGCTGAGCAGTCTAAAACAGTAGTCTCAAAATTGGAGCATGCATTTTCCTGGGTTATTCCCAAGACTTCCCAAGGAATACACGGACACTGACAGGTCCTACATAAACCCGTTGTCACTGACTTGATTCCGATTCATAGCGACCCTACAGGACAGAGTAGAACTGCCCCACAGGGTTTCCAAGAAGCGCCTGGTGGATTCGAACTGCAGACCTTTTGGTTAGCAGCCAAGCTCTTAACCACTGCACCACCAGGGTGTCCTGGTCCGACATAGGAGAACTGACTTCCAGGTCTTCAACTTACATATGCCATTTTCTCTAAAATCTCTTCAGTTTTCCTTCCCCACTTTCCCTTCTCAAATCCCCTTCTTACATTTTGCAAAATAAAGGCACGAGTCTCACTCTCCTAGGATCTTACTAAAGTGCCCTGCCCTAGAGTGTAAAAGCCTCCAGGGTGGCAAAATATAATCGAAAATGTGGATTCTAATGAATGACTGGGTAACAAACCCTTGTGAGAGTCACGTGGATTCCAAGTATTTCACCAGAATTGAAAGTGACCTAATCAAACTGTCAAATGATAGACGATTCAAAATTATTTTGATAACATTCTGATGTAATTTTTGGCATATAACTCAGAAGTTAGAAAAAAATCCAGCAATGCTGATATAATACAACTCCATCCATTCCTATCTATCAATTTATGTGAATTGGGTTCTACATCATTTATATCTAGGGGGGAAAACAGAATGGGATTGATGCTGAACTCTATCTCATTCCAGCAGTCAATAAGCAGTATTCATTTATAGATGAACTAATTGTGGGTGGGGCGTGAGAACAGAACAACCCCATCCATCTCATTAATAAATGTACTTCTAATACATTTTCTTTATGTTTAATAATTACTTATCAAAATTTGTTATATGTTGTTTAATTATATCAGAATAATTACAGTGATAATTCTATTCAGAAGAAATTTTTCAACTTACAAATTTTTGTTTCAAAGAACTATGATAGGAGAGCAATAAAAGATGTTAAGCATAAAAACTATGTTAAGAAAAAATTCTATGGAAGAGGTAAATGGAAACACAAGTTCAAGGAAACAAAGGAATGATATAAAATTTCTAACTTGAAGAAAAGCATATTCATGTATTTTTTTTTAAAGGATGATGGTGGTATTAAATCACGCTTATACTGAGGTTTCATGGAATACAATTAAAATAGTGCTGTAACTGTTTCATTTTTAAATGTCATAATATGCCCAGAAATGACATCTTTTGCAACTATTTAAACTTACAACAAAAAATCCTAAGTCAACCTAAAACCGCACAAGGGGATGGTTTTTAAAATTTATTTTAGAAGGTAAGCAAGGAAGAAAGTTTGAAAACTTCTGGTCTAGAAAACAGAGCACTCTGCCCCAGTCGAGCTGCTTTTGCTCCATCACATGCCCTGACAAACTAATTGTCACCTGGTGATTTAGCTCTACTGAAAAAGCTACCTCATCACTGATGAGAACATGGATTCCTGTTGGCCCCTGTTTGTAGATCTGGCTGATCTGCTGAGGGGAAATGCTGAACAGCTGAGCAATTTTTTCTGTCAGTTCAACAGCTGTCAGTTCTTCTAGATAGATGGCATGGTACACTGCAAAAGGGAGAGAGCAATGGCAGTCAGTACAAAGTTTCTCTGCTCTTACAAGTCACCTGGTCATTGGGAACGTACACTTTTCTGAATTACTAAGAAGTCAGACTCCCTGTATTCAAATGTTGGCTCAGCTACTTGCTAGCTGTGTGATCTAAGGCAAGTTAGTTAACATTTTTAAGCCTCCTTCTCCTCTCCTAAACACTGAAGATAACAATGAAACCTACTGCAAAAATTAGATAGTAGTTGTAAAACGAAAGCATGTAGAAGTGCTTACAGTAGTGCCTGGCATATATTAGGAGCTCAATAAATATTAGTGATTACCATTACTTCTAGCAAATGCTGAATCTGCTGTTTGATGAATTCCCATCACACATGCCCTTAAGACATCTCTTCACCTCTCTTCATGTCTGTCCTGGTCTGTCCAGAACGACCTACCGAAGAAAGTACCATTTGAGTCTCCATCCTCATGCTTCTGCTGCTGTTGCTGCTGCTCCCTCAACTGCAAGGATTCCTGACAAACATAAATGGTCAATCTTGGACGTACCATGCTAAAGATAAAAAAAAAAAAAAAAAAAAAAAAACCCAGCCTGTTAGTTCAGAGTTTTCATGGTAAACACACCTTAAGGGAGAACTTGTATGTCTACATTATTAATAGTACAGAGCAGTGGATGACAACTGGCAGCTCATAGGCCAAATGCAGCTCATTCAATAGGTTTTATTAACTCCCCAGTGGTGTTTTTTTGTTTGTTGTTTTTCTTTTTTTTAAAGCTGAATTAGTTCCAACTGGAGACATCATATAGGCTTCTTGGCAGCTCATAGCCAAATGCAGCTCATTCAATATGTTTTATTAACTCCCCAGTAGTGTTTTTTTGTTTGTTGTTTTTCTTTTTTTTAAAGCTGAATTAGTTCCAACTGGAGACATCATATAGGCTTCTGAAGTTTTGGCTTTTCTTGAAAAATGAGACTAGCAATCTGAGGCTCTCATCTTCACACAAGAAGTCAGCTGCCCTCCTCACCTGGTGTGTGCTTTCTTCAGTACAGCCCAGACTCAGCTGTCACTCCTTTACATTACTTATGTGACCTCTGTAGTCATTTGAATCTGTGACCTTTGGTGTAAAGGTTAGAAATAGTCAAAATGTGTGAGCCACTGCTTCATGGGTCAGGTTCAAGACAGCTAACTTTTACTTAAGAACTCCAACAAGTACACTGGAGTATCTGTATCCCTCATTACCTTCTCCTAAGTAGCCTAAGCCCTCTTTCTGTTGTTCTTAGGCAGTCAATTACCTCTTGATCTGATCATTGTATTCCTTCCTACTAAATATTCTTTAGACAATACCCTAAAAAATGAAAGATCTATTCTTTCTGCCCAAGTCACCAACCCCTGAATTTCACCTTTCCTTAAAATTTTGCAAGATTACAGCCCTCTTGATTTAATATCCCTTGTGTTGTACACCAACACAAATACTTACCAATCTGCTTTATTATTTAGTCACTGATTTGGTTCTGTTACCATTGACCCGCATGATTTTTCCATCAATATTACTTATTTGAAACTGTAAATCCCAAAAGGGAAAGGACGACAAATTACTCTGTGTTACAACTAATATTTGCAAGTAGACACTTAAGCAATTTCTACCCAAACTTAAGAATGATCTTTTCTCCAGTTCAAACTGACTTACGTCCTTTGCACCTGCTGTTCCTTCTGCCTAGAACATTGTTCTCTCAAATGACCCCACAGCTTCATCCTTCTCATAGCTCAGCTTAAATATCCTCTCCTGACTATACTCTAGGCACTCTCTAGCCCATAACCTTGTTTTTGCTTTGTTTTGTTTTCCTTCAAAGCACTTATCACTATCCAGAATACTTGTTTGTTTATATCTTTATCTCTCTCCTCATTAAAAGGAAACTCCATGATATTGGGTACCTTGTCTGTTTTGCTCACCAATCCTTATGACTGGTGTCCTCAGAGCCTAGAATAGTACCTTGCTCATGACAAGAGACTCAGTGAATATTTTGTTGAATGAAAAAACTATCTGGGAATGGAAGATAGGATATTGTGGGGAATTTCTTGGATCAAGAAAGGATATTTTTTCATCTTTGCTTATTTGATACATAGCTAGCATTAAAAGAAATGTTTTGAGAAGATGTATTTAGCTGTGCAAACAGTATTTTTGAAGACTCCTGAATCTAAATCCATTTGAAATCCAACCTCACGAATATTTTGACACTAATTACATACCGGCCTTTTAATGCATTAAAAAGTCTGATTCCATCTGCAGGGCCACAGATTTGGATCACATCATCTCTAGTTAGTTTCAATAAATCTGCCCCTGGAATAAATATAAGAAAATGTGTGATAAAGGCAAAGATTCTTTCTGTTAATGATGATTAAAATGGGCTCTGTTACAAGGACACCTCTTTACCAGTACGTTATGGTCCAAAATCTTTTCTATGGCATACAAGACTCTCCACGACCTGGCTCAGCCTCTTCTCCAGCCTCAATTCCCACCCAATTAACTTTTCCACTTAACCCTATGACTTTGTCATATTGATTTTTGAACCTCAGTGCCTAATTTTGTGAAATTTCCTCCTGTCTGAAATTTCCTTCCACTATCTGACTAAAAGACAGACTCTTCCTCATCCCTCCTTGAGAGTTACTTTGCATGTCATGTCATGTTCCCTGACATCAAAACCTCCCTTGAATGCCTCATCTTGTACACACCTCTGTAGAACCACTTATCAACTACATCACAACTCTTTGTTAACCTGTTTGGGGGTTTTATTTTGGTTTCATTTATTTTATTTTTTTTAATACTAGATGATGAATGAGCTCTTTGATCAGGAATTATGCCTTATCCATTTCTGTATTCCTACCACCGCTGGTACACAGAAGGTGCTAAATTAAAGTGGAATGTGTTAAGTAAAATACAATATAGTGATACCTAGGGAAAGATTTGAGACTACCTTTAAATGACCCCTTGATAAAATACTACATGAAATATACATTTTAAAAAGTGTTATATGTAATAAATATTTTACAATTAAAGTGAGTTTACACTAAGTATTTCTTTTTAAGTATTTCACAGCACAGCTGTAGCTGGTGAGAAAGACTAAAGGGTTGTACAGAATTAATTTCATCAGAAAAATACACTAAGATCTCACCAAAAAAATAACCTCTCACGGATGCTAGGAGGCCCTAAAATGTAAAGGAATATCCCATGCTGGGTGGGTGGGTAGGTGGGGAAGGACAAGAAAATTTAACCTGAGAAATTTGTAAAAAGTCTTGTGAATGTAGAAAAACGGTTTCGATGCAACCACTGCTGAGCTTCCTGAGGTGTGCTTGTTGGCAAGAGGTTCTGAAAGACAGAATTTTTTGATAACTAAATAGGTTCATCTGTTATCTCATTTGGTAGCACAAACACACCCACATGCACCCACACTCAGGCCTAGTTTGCCTGGAAGTTGTTTACACACCTATCTCTCCTTATCTAAACATGCAACAAGCCAACGGAGTTCATCCTTATCATCCCTACCGGACTGTAAGCCCCTCAAATGTGAGGGTCTTGCTTTACTTATTTCATATCCCCATTCCCAGCACAGTAGCTGGTATAGTCAAAACTCAATAGATGTTTGCTTAATGAATGAATAATCCTCCCTAAGCTGGGCATTTCTACTGAATTGTAAAGTCATCAAAGTATTATTAGACATTGCAAATAATTGACATTCAACTTCAGACTTACGTCTGTGACTGGAGGGGGAGGCTCTGGCTGGTGGTTTGGTGAACCATTTCTAAAGAAACATTTAAAATGAAAGAATGAGTCCATGACACATACTAGGGAATTGGGAAATTCATTCTCTCATTCTTCATCCTCACAACAAGTCTTAAGCTAGAGATGTAAAAGATCTGTGCTCTCTCATAAAACATTCATACTCTTTGATCCAATACTTCTGTATTTGTTAATTTGACCTAAAGACTTTATGGGAGAGGGAAAGGAACTATGTAATTTGTAACATTATTTATTATTGGGGGAGCTGAAAAAAAATCTGAATTTCAATAAGTTGGGACTCATTAAATAAATTATGGCATAAAGAATATTTAATAATGGGAAATTTATTAGAATGTAAACTAAAATATCAATATAAAACTGTATCAATATATTACAACTATATTAAATATATAAATATACAACATAAACATACATAAGAAAAAAGATTAGAGGAAAATTTATGCAATGCAATGGGATGATACACTTTTATAATGAAAAACATTTAATAATTATTTTTAAAGCAGCTTCAAAAATTAGTGCTGTCTAATATGAGACTAAACAGGTAGCTCCTGTCTGGAGTTGAGACGGGAAGACAGAGGGTCAGGAGTTGGCTGAATGGACATGGGAAATCCGGGGTAAAAAGGAGGAGTGTGCTGTCACATTATAGGGAGAGCAGCTAGGGTCACATAACAATGTGTGTATACATTTTTGTATGAGAAACTAACTTGAATTGTAAACTTTCACTTAAAGCACAATTAAAACAAAAAAAAATTAGTGCTGTCTAATTTATGATCTAAGGGCCAGCTCTACATACTTGGTTCTTCCTTACACTCCCTTTTGCTTTATGGATTGTTCTTCTTCCCTAATGCTTACTTCTTTTATGGGAAAGAGATTTAAGCCTAATAATGAAGTTACGTGAAAAAGAGAAAACTTTAAAAAACACAACCCTTAAACCTTTACATAATATTTAAAATTGTCTATAAGTAAATTATATCATTCATGTGAATGGGATTTTTCTTGTAAAAGATCTTTTTCCTTCTTTTTTTCCCCTTAGCTATAAAATTCAAATTCAGTAATTAACTTAGCTCAAGGCCCTAGTTATATCTACGCCTCCTACCACTTCTACCTATTTTTATTCCTAATTGTTACATTCTGAATATTGAAGCTACTTTAAATACCTTAAATTTAGAACCTAAATAAATCTAAAAACAAACAGTACACCCAAACAGTATACTCACAGATGTGGTAGCCTATCTCAAACTTCAAAATGGCCTATGTGGAATATGTATTAAATGCTAGAACTATAAGGCAACTATGTTTTTTTTTAAAACTGGAGTAGGCATTTGTACCAACTTTCAGTTATCTCTGATGCTAAAGGATAATAGGGCAAGATTAAATGTTTCCCATAAATAATTCTAAAATTTCATTTTAACCATCATCTTCAAACTTCTTTCCCCAATTATCAAAGACCCATAATAATTGTTAGGAACATTCTCAACAAGTAACAAAACAAATTTTAGTGTTTGAACAACTGTGTTTCCAATTTCCAACCACTACTCTCTGTGGAAAGTACGATCAGGAAGTAAAATAACCACAAGATCAGCAGCAATAGGAAGAAGCAAACAGCCTAAAAATTTAGTCTCTAAGTCACTAAAAATTGAACATAGATGCTATTTTCTAATGGAAATTTTAAGAAAAGGAGAGAAAGGGCTATATAAAACTCTTTCAGTCTTCTTTGAAAACAATCCAAACTTCACTTAATACATGAATCTATTAAAGATTGAACAAATGGAAGTACTTATTGATTTGGAAAGATCTTATATACGGAAAGATAATGAAAGAATACATATTTGGGACAGACACAAGCCAATTTCATTTCCCAGACTTACCCTTCCCCTAGAGAAAAACTGCTATGGGAACTGTTGAAGCCAGGTGATGGGGAATTATTGACGTACGTGATCTCAGGCCATGGTGAACACTATAAACAAAGGACAACTTAGATAATGAAAAAGCACATTTGACCCTATGGTTCCAATAAAACATTGTTACTTGAATAGCACATCTTTATTAGTCAATCTTAATTCATCAGGGCCCCAATAAGCAGGAGAGAATATGCCCAAGTCCATTAGGTTTTGACTGGGCTGGAAGTGATGGATTTTTCCTTGAAGAGTGAAAAGTATCACTATATACCCTTCAAAAATGACTGAAATTGGCAACAAAAGAAATCCTTTTACCTCTGTGAGTATAGTTGTCTCATAGGAAGGTTGATATTTCTCCTTTTCGTGAGGTGTTCGTTTCTCCATTTTCTCCCTATCTGTTTTTTGCTTTCTGTCTGCACCTTTGGGCTGAAATGAGAAATACTGTGTCTTAAACTCAAGAACTCACTTTTGACCCAGCAATATTACTTCTAAAAACTTAAATATCCACATATGAAACAAAGATTTGTATACAAGGATGCTGACTGCATCACTGAATGTAAGTCTGAAAACGGAAAATTTAAATAATCGATAGTGTTGAAAAAGAAAGAGACAGACCTATAGTGACTGTCTATAGATTCATCGATAGCTATCTATGGAAAGATCTCTGAAGTACATCCAAACCCAAACCAAACCCACTGCTGTCAAGTCGATTCCCACTCAAAGCAACCCTACAAGACAGAGCAGAACCACCCCATAGGTTTCCAAGGCTGTAAATCTTTATGGAAGCAAACTGCCACATCTTTCTCCCATAGAGTAGCTGGCGGGTTCGAACCGCCGACCTTTTGGTTAGCAGCTGAGTGCTAAACCACTGTACCACCAGGGGTCCTTCTGAAGTACATGGTTAACTAAAAAAAAACAAGCCTCAGAACAATTTATAAAATATAATTTTATTTATGTTTCAAAGTAAAAAATGTATGCCTATTGTGAAGGTTAAGACTGTGTGTCAACTTGGCTGGGCCATGATTCTCAGTGTTTTAATGTAATCACTCCCATGATTGAATATACTGTGAGCAACCAATCAGATGAAAGGGAGTCTCCTTGGGGGTGTGGCCTGCATCTGAATATAAGCAGACGTTCTGGCTTTTTGCTCTCTCTGGATCCTGTGGCTGCCTCCTTTCGCCTCATCTCCAGTTCTTGGGACTTGAGCTGTCAGCTTATCTGCCGAACTTGGGATTCATCGATCTGCACAGCCTGTGAGCGGCAGCCCTGCTCTCCAACCTGCCGATCTTGGGCTTGCCAGCTTCTGTGGCTGCGTGATTTGGGAGAGGTTCTTACCCTGATCCACAGACTTGGGGTGTTCTAGCCTCTACAATTGCGTGAGCTGTTTCCTTGATATAAATCTCTCTCTCTCTATATATATATATACACTTTACTGGTTTTGCTTCTCTAGAGAACCCAGCCTAAGACACCTATGTACCTGTGTATATAAAAGCATAGTAAGGAGAAGACTAGAAGAACACATACCTAATTATGGCAGTGGTTACCTCTGGGGAGGGGATGCTGATTCAGGGAAAAGGGAGTGGTAAAAGGAGATTTGAGTATTGTGCTATGAACACTTCTGTATTGCTGAATCTTTTGCAATGAGAACATATTTATCACATATGATAAAATAAAGACCAAAATAAGGGAAGAAAATCAAGCACAAATATAATCAAACTGTCAACTTTTCATAATTTCTGTGGGCTTTTACAAGTGTCTGTGACTTCAACAGGCTCCAAGAGCTTTCAAGGAGAATCTGTTTCTGCTCCCGACCCCAAGTTCCCCTTCTCCTACACCATCCCCATATATACTTCATTACCAGGCATCTCAGCAATTAGCTCAATGACTCTAGTTTAGACTGAGTTTTCAGAGTTTTTGAAAAAAGACAAGTCAACTTTCTGACTTGGTGACTAATGTTAAAATAGAGAGATGAGGAAAAAGGATTGGAGGGCCAGCACAATGCCCAGGAATACCTTGAAGACTTTGATCTGGCAGCTGGCTGAGTGTAAGTGCTCAGTATATTCCCCATTCTCGTTCTCCTTGAAGGTGTCAATTTGTACTCGGAATGGCACTCCCTTTTCTCCACCATGTTTCCTCATAGTGAACTCTGTGCTGATACAATGCACCTGGAAAGAAGATGTACCGGCTCCAGTAAGGCCAGCCAGCCAAACCAGCCAGCAACATTTTTTGAGAGCTACTGAGAACTAAGAACTACTAACTACTAAGAACTACTAAGTATTATTACTACTAATTAATAGGCATTATGAACAGCTACAAAAACACTTTTACTGTCTTTTTGATCTTAAAGAACTTAGAGTCTGATGAAGAAAATGAGAAAAACTTAACTAATTTACAAATGCAAACAAAGTAAATGTACAGATATGATGTAACATAAGCTACTGTGGGGAACTAAATACATTAGCTATTTCAGAGAAGGTAGAGTTAACATAAAAGAGAAATGATTTCTGTTAGAAAAGGCTTCCTGGACTTCAAGGTAGATGTTAGAAAGAGGAGGCACCATTCACGCTGGGAAAATACTAAATATGAGCTCACAGGCAATAGAGGGAAAAAGGATTGCATGGCTACTGCATAAAGTCTAACACCTTGGTGAACCTTAATGGTGGAACCCTGCCTGATTGACCACTTCCTAGCTTGGGTAAGTTACCTACACTTTCAAAGCCTCTACTCTACAGGATTATTGTTGAACTTAGTAAATAAAATCATGTGTAGAAAGTGTTTTCTTAACACAATGACTGTCTCATGGTAAACACTCAATAAACTGGCAACTATCCTTATTATAAATAAGGATTTTCAAGTAATCTACCCAAAGGACATGATCAGATATGCAAATAAAATTTAAGTATAAAGAGTCAAAATAATTTTACTGAAAATAATGAAAAATTAGAACAATCTAAATGCTAAATAATTGTTAGGTAAGTTATGGTACATCCAAAGGATGAAATATGATACAGCATTAGCAAGAATTTTTGAGAGCTATAAATAAATAAAATAGGATAATTGGAAGAGCAATTCAGAACTCCTCATTGCTCTTAGGTACATGCTGAAGTGCCTGGACTTGACAGTCAGGCTGATGCCCTGTAAAGATTTCATAATCAACATGTTTTATCCTTTAAAGGAACAAGCTGGTAGTAAGAGATGCTCTTCATAACTGGAACCACATCTGCAATGCCTTACCTGAATAAACACAGATGTCCTCTTTGCAGGGTCCCATAGGAACTCCACTGTATTTAGCTGAGTTGGGTTAGCCCTAGGATCGATTATACCCACAGACATTGGGATATCTGAGAAACAAAACAGTAATCATTGAACAATGCTACGGGCTACTGGGATTATAAGAAAGCACTTATATTCCTGGCCCCTAAGAGTGTAAGAGTCTTGTCTGTCATACACCACACTTCTTTTTTTGCCAATGAAAAGGTTTTGATTAGAGCTAAAACTGACCTAAGTACTTTCCTTCTGAGTATCCTTTTTCTACTTTAAAAGGTTTTTTAAATAAGGCAATTAAAAGCAGTTTCCTTTTAATTTGTCAAAATTCTACTTAAAGATTGACTAAGTCTACACACTAGCTCTAGTGACATGAAAGCTATAATTTATAATGTGCATCACTTACAGTCCTATGATTAGTGTTACTGCTAGAAGCACATTAAAAGGATTACTGTAGAAAGGAGAAGCAGAGAGTCCAAATAAAAACAGAAAGCACTGTATCAAGGATAAAACCCAGAAACCAAACCCACTGCTGTTGAGTCGATCCGACTCATAGCGACCCTATAGGGCAAAGCAGAACTGCCCCATAGGGTTTCCAAGGAGTGGCTGGTGGATTCAAACTGCCTACCTTTTGGTTAGCAGCCGAACACTTAACCACTACACCACCAGGGCTCCGTATCAAGGATAGAAGTGGGCAAAATTTATCACAAAGATTGATGTTACTTATCAAGTCACCAAATAATCCTATAACAGAGAGGCAAATCTTATACTCAAGAGGGAAACAAAAATTAATGGACTTTAGCAGAACTCTGCTTTCCAATCCACATGGCAGATACTCAAATGTCATTCCCTGACTTCTATTAATATTCAAACTAAAGAAATAAGGCCAAGCTGATATCATTTATTATCATATTGTGCTATAACTATACTACTATTAGTTATTAGTGACTCAAACAATAAAGCATTAAGTGGGTCCCACTCCACAGTGTTAGTTGTGTTGGACTCATTCTAAGGTCAGTTTATCAAATGTGTATCAGGATATTATCATGAGAATGAAGGAGTCCTAATGGCGCAGTGGTTAAGTGTTCAGTTGCTAACCAAAAGGTTGGTAGTTCAAACCCACCAGCTGCTCTGTGGAAGAAAGATGTGGCAGTCTTCTTCCATAAAGATTACAGCCTTGGAAACCCTATGGGGCAGTTCTACTCTGTTCTATAGGGTCACTATGAGTCGGAATTGACTTGATGGCAATGGGTATATGAGAACCACAGTTTTTTTTTGTAGGTAAAACTAGCAGTACTTACTCAGATTTGCTTAACAAATATGTTTGCCAATAGGAGATAATAACTTTGGAGTATTGTACACAGATACCAGGATTAAAAGTATGTTCATGAAGAGAGATTGTGGGTGTGTTGGTGAAGATCTTTCCCTTATGCTGTATGATTTAGGAAAAACAAATTCTACTCTATGTAGCAAAACAGAAAAAAACCTGAACTACAAACCGAAAGATAGAGATTCTAGTCACAGGTCTCCCACTTCAGTAAGACATATCATTAACTGGCCCTCAAGCATTAGTAAAATAAAGGAACTTGCAATATATTGGGAGAAAACCTGTTCTCTTTTACACACTATTCAAAACAAAACATCCTCCTGAAGTAATGGCTGCAACTACTATGGAAATGAAGTGTTTACAATTCCAACTTCAATTGTGGTATCTTACAAGTAGTTTTTTATGCTTAGTCAATAACCACTTCCAGGTTCATGCTAACTGAGTTGCTGAAGCATTCTGAATCAAGTAAACGTCAAGTAAAGAAAATCAACTCTCAGTTCATAGTTAGAGGCGTTTCCTGAGCAACAGATTCTCTTAACTAACCTATGTCAAGAATTCTATCTCCAGGTCGGTTCCACCTCCAGCCCTCTAGCTGCTGATGTTCAGTGTATTGTAGCCGTCTGTCATGGAACACTACACGGAATATACTCTAAAAAGAAGCAACAAAGTGAGTGAAATAAATCTTAGCTTAGGGAGCACTGAGTTTCTGTTAATGATGGTGGGATAATTTAGAAAAGGAGTGGTAATGGTTGCACTACATGATGAACGTAATTAATGTCACTGAATTATACATGTGAAAATTGCTGAATTGGCAAATGTTTTGTCATATATATTTTTACCACAATTAAAAAAAATGCTCCCTGAATATATATCATATTTGCAAGAAGATGTACCACAGAAAAAGCAGGTCGTTTTCCAAATAATTTTGGAGAAGGTTGGATTGGTTTCTTTTCTATGGAACGTCTCAGGGCCTTTAATGTGATGTCTAGAGGAGTCTACTGTATGCAGCATTTCCTAAATTTATTCAAACTTGAAGCCCTCTATGGTTCTTATTTTTGGTCATAAATGAACAGTGGTCTCTGAAATGCAGCAAGGTAAACTCTGCTCTAATGTATTTGAATTTTCTGGTTTAAATCACAATTTCATTTATTATTCTAATCACTTCTCAAAAATTACTTTTTGTACACTGCAATAAAGGGCACTGTAAAAAAGAAGAAGCAACAAAGTGACATTATAACAGGATCCCTTGAAAATCAGTGCTGACAAGGAAAACCAGCAGGAGTCACCTCCAACTGGTTTCTAGACATAATCTAACATTATTTTTCTTAAGACCTGTTTCACTCTAAAACCCATACCATACCAAGCTCTATTTCAAGGTAAATTTTATAATTTTTTAGATGTAATCTTTATATTTAACTGGTACAATTGTCTAAAACTTGGCCAAAACATCATTCCTGATGGTAACCAGGCATAAAGGACTCCTATGAGAAGCATTTCTACATGCTTCTACTATTATCTTGTAATATTCAACTAAGTTCTTCAGATGCATAAGAAAAACTCATCAAGTCCCCCACTTGTTAACTCACCATATAACCTGTAAACACTGATGACAGGTAGGACTTGTTTCCATTGACTCTGCTTTTGTTACTCTTACTTTGTGGAGGTGTCCATTAATCCCTCCTGCCACCTTTTGCAGCTGCTAAAAACACTCCTCTGTCCCAATTGTGCTATGAATTCTCAAAGTCATTACTGTCAGTCTAGACTAAGAGAACTGCTATTCATCAACAGTAGCGTCTGTTTTCCTTGCTGCTAGACCAAGTATCCAAAGAGACACTGGAGCTTCTCGAAAACAGAACTTCACTGAGCCAGGAGGCTACCCTGGACATGGAATGATAATCTTCTGTTTGTGCAGCTCTGAAAAATCCATGTGAATAGAGGGGCTTGCTCTGACCCCAAGGAATTAACACATCAGTTTACTAGTATGCCAGCAAACTATGGCAAGTAAGAGATTCCAATCAAGTCCTCTATAGAAGCAAAAGAATATTATCCAAAATATCCAATAAGGGTCAATAAAAGCATATTGTGCAGAGGGATGGTTTACTCATTTTCTTTTACCTTCACCAACTTGCCATTAATTTCTGGAAGTTCTCCAAGTTTCCTATTGTCTAGCATTCGAATTTCATAAGACTGTCCTAGAAGAAAAAGTAATTACATATTATAGTCATCACAAGTTAACTCTGTAAGATTCAGAAAGAATAAAATTCAATTATTTGAATATACAAAAGCATAACACTTATTAGTAACAACAACATTTATAAGCCTATATGGTAGGTGCTGTGCTAAGTGTTTTCATACATTATCTAAGGTATTATCAATCTCATTTTTACACAACTGGTAAATAACAGAGCTAGGTAATACTTCTCAGACAGTAATCAATGGGGGTGTCTGGGGAACATAGATTAGAAATGGGGAGATGGAACCTAAAAATGAGCAGGTAGACAAAATAAGCCAGTAATATATGACAAACATGACATTAAAACTCAAATGTCTAAAGTAAGGCTTCTGGTAAGGCTTTCCAGATCACACTAGAGAAGATGAGTGTACATCTAAGTGTACCTAATAAAATGTCATGAATCCAGCCAGTCTGCAATACTACCAATGAAAGGGAGCATCTAACCTTGATTGAGATATGTCAGTGTTTCATCATGGAGCTTCACTGCTGGAGAGGTGGCAGCACAAAGCACATATTGAAAAGGTAGGATTTTATTCTCGTTATCAGGAGGCAAACTGGACTCTTCTTGTTTAAAAATGGGCAATGCAAGGACATCACTGAAATAAAACAAATGACTTACATTTACATCTGATAATGATGCAAGAGCAGATTTATTGTTAAAACAATTTAACTATAATTTGCTTTGAAAAACCATAAACTTAAGTCACTTGGGTGGAATATCATCCAGACCATTCAGTTCAGATTACCTGCTATGATATCCCCCTGACCATACCAATGTGGGTGATGACAGATATTCACTGCCAAGACCACCATAAGTGTCCAAAGAGAATATTTCTAGGAATCACAGACAGGGTTTCTTTCCTGTATGAAACTGGGATTCCATTAAGAGTTGTTCAGTCTTAAGGTCCCCTGAGGTATAAATTAACCTCTTGAGACAAGGTAGCCCCTTGGATAGTCTCTACTAGTTCAGAACTGTGGTTTAACCTTCTCCCTTCAGGACTACCAGAAGGTGACTTGAGAAGGGAGAGAGGGAGATTTAATGAGCTCTCCTTTGAGTAAGAGAGGCAAGTAGGCAGGTGTCTGTAGAGTCAAAGGAAGTTAGAAACTAACAGTTGCTGTGCAATCATTTCCCACTCATGGAGACCCCATGTGTGTCAGAGTACAACTGTGCTCCATAGAGTTTTCAGTGGCTGCATTTGTGGAAGCAGATCACCAGGCCTTTCTCCCGAGGCACTCCTGGGTGGACTTTAACTGCAACTTTTCAGTTGGCAGCTGAGTGCATTCACCGTTTGCAACACCCAGGGACATCAAAAATCCAAATGTAGCCTTAAGTTTTATACACTATAAAAACTGCATGAGATTTCATGACTCAGCTGCTAAATGTCCCCGTGGTACTACCTCCAAAGATGGCCTCTAACTACCAGCAAGCATCTCCTGCTATTTACACCCTTTCCTAGCCACTTGCCACACTGAGTCTGGGCTGGCCCTGAGATTTGTTTCAACAAGGAGAATGTGAAGGACGTAGCAGTGTACCAGTTCTGGCCTAGGAACTAATCTTTAAGAAGGATTGGCAGCTTTTACTTTTGCATTTTGGGGAACAACCAGGTAAGAAGTCTGACTACCCTGCTAGAGAGACGACATGGAGGAAGTAAGTGGAGAAAGAAAGGCCCTGAGCCCAGTATTCCAGGTAAGCCCAGCATTAGACACGTAAGTGAGCCATCTAGGCCATTCCAGCCCAGGCCCTCCAGATGACTGCAGCCTCAGCTGACCCCATATGAAGCAGAATTGCACAGTCAACCCACAGATACATAAGAAGTAGTAAACTGTTATTTTAAACCACTAAGTTTTGGGGGTAGTTTGTTAAACAACAATAGACAATGAAACAGTCCCCCATTCCAAAGCTTCTAAAGAACTCTTTGCTCTACAGTAAAACTTTAGAGTAATGGTGAATATTTAAATGAAGATATTAAATCATCTTTACTTAGAATAGCTATGTTTTAAAAAAAAATAAAGGCAAAACAAAAGGTACATTTCAAAAGCCACTGTATGGTGCTTAAGGAAAAATAAACAACAAAACACACAAACACTTCAGATACAGCATGACAACTCACCTTTACTTGTATTATCTTTTAAAACGAGTTAATGCTATAAAACCTTGAACTACATTACTAATAAAATATAGTTATTTTCACTCTTCAGGTAAAGAAACAGTAATAAGAATTTGAACAATATGACCAGATCAAAAAAAAAGCAACCAAAAAAACCACACTAAAAAAAAAAATGCATGAGTGAGAAAATATAAATGCAAATAAGAATCAATCTGGCCTCATAAAGGGAATGATAGGACAACCAGCTCTTTTCCTTCATCTTCTCAATTATATGCTCTTAGTCCTCTGGCTTTCAAACTTCTTTGAATACCACTCATAATTAAAAAAACCATTTTACATTATGACCCAGGACACATACACACACATGTTTTTGTCTACAAAACTGAAACAACTTTCACAAAACAACACTTATTCTCACTACATGTAACGCATTTTCGTATTTTCTATTTGATTTCATTTTTTAAAATCTTGGCCACAAACTGCAATTTGAAAAACACTATTCTAATCTTTCTTGTCCCTTAGAACTTTGTACTAAATTAAAGCTTATTTACAATCCCTTGATCAGTATTCAAAAAAACTAACATAACAAAAGGCCAAGTATTCCAGATCGGAGTGTAATTCAGCTACTAAGAACAGGGATATTATCTACTTTAATAGATAAACACAGAGACTCACACCAATAATTACACAGATGGTACTTTGCATACCACCTCTCTATCTTTGAGGTTCTTTTCCCTTGCCCATCCCATGCCAGAAAAGTGACTCTTTTCTGCCTTTGACTTATCCTTACTGGGTCCCCTTTGGTCCTCTCATTTTTAAATTCTCCTGTACAAAGCAAGGAAGAATGCTCCTAAATCCACAATTCAACATTCATAATAAAGACTGTCTTAAAAACTACAATCCAGAATCTGCTTTTCAAGTCAGAAAATATATCTGGAAATAGTTTTCAAGTCCTCTTCTGCTGTGCTTGTAGATCGCACTACTACACTGAAGTCCGGGCTGTCTGGAAGGCATATAAATAGCAGTGGCTCACAACCACGGCTACACGTTAGAATCACCTGGGGAGCTTTTAAAATTCCCTCCCAGGCAATATCCCATGCCTATTAAATCAGAATGGGGGGGCGGGGAATAATTGGTCAGCTTAACTACTTAGCGCTGGTGGCACAGTGGTTGTGATACGGCTGCTAACCAAAAAGTAAAGGAGCCATGGTGGCGCAGTGGTTAAGTGCTCAGCTGCGAACCAAAAGGTCGCAGTTCGAAACCACCAGTTGCTCCATGGGAGAAAGATGTGGCAGTCGGCTTCCGTAAAGATTTACAGCCTTGGAAACCCTATGGAGCAGTCGCTCTCTGTCCTGCGCAGTGCTATCAGTCAGAAATTTGACTTGATGGTAATGGGTCTGGTTTTTGGTTTTCTGACGTGTTAGTAAGGCGAGGTAACAGGTTTGATCTCTACGTCATCTAGGATGACCAAGACCAAGAGGTCCCAGTGAGCCATCCTGAAACATGACCAAAAAGGGTGAGCCGGTTTGCGCAGGTCTGTGCATACCCATCACAACTACAGGGGGGAAACACAGCGTGACATTGGGTGAGTAAATCCTTTGAAAATCTTTTTTCCAGTTATTCAACAAATAGTCTTTGAGCACCTACTATGTTCTGGGCCCTATTTTAGATGCCTGAGATACAGCAATAAACATTATAGATAAGGTCCCCTCACAGAGAACAGTATCATTGTCTTTGTGTGTGTGTATGCGCATTAGGTGAAAGTTTACAGAGCAAATTAGTTTCCCATTTGATAGTTTGTACATAAAGTGTTTCATGACCTTGGTTTCACTCCCCAGTGTCAGTACTCTCCCCAGTTCTACCCTGGGTTCCCCATTTCCTTTCATCCTGATTTTCTACCCCTTCCTGCCTTCTCATCTTTGCTTTTGGGCAAATATTGCCCTTTTGATCTCATATAATTGATTATTCTAAGGAGTGCATTCCTCTTGAGCATCGTTGTTTATCTTACGGGCTTGTCTATCATTTGGAGGGATGTGGTCTCCGGGAATGGCTTCAGTTCCAGGTCAGAAGGGTGTCTTAGGGCCACAGTCTCAGGGGTTCCTCCAGTCCCTGTCGAACCAGTAAGTCTGGTCTTTTTTGTGAATTTGATTTTTTGTTCTACTTTTTTCTCCCACTTTTACAGGACCCTCTCTTGTGATCCCTGTTACAGCAATTGGTAACGCTATCTGTGCATCATCTAGTTCTTTTGGTCTCAAGGTCACGCAGGCTGTGGTGCATGTGGTCCATTAGTCCTTTGGACTAATTGCTCCCTTGAGTCTTTGGTTTTCTTCACTCGCCTTTGCTCTGGACGAGAAGAGACCAATAGTTGTATCTTACATGGCCGCTTGCAAGCTTTTAAGACCCGAGATGCTACTCACCAAAGTAGGATACAGAACACTGTCTTTATGAACTATGTTGTGCCAATTGACACAGATGTCCCCTGAGTCTATGGTCCTTTGTCTCTGAGCCTATGAACTTCATCCCACAAGGTGTTTGGTTATGCCTAAGAGGTTTCCCTGACTGTACCCCTTGTGTGCTTTACATGAGCCCCACCTACAGTCATGTATGTAGAAATATTCACCACCAAACCTGTATCAGCCGGTGGGTGTGTTCCCTTACACCCTCCCACACCTGCTGGAGTTATCTATTTATCCATTCATAAATTATTGTTTGTTAATACTATTGTCGCAGGATTGTCTAAACTATAGTAGTTACTGAAGTTGCCCTTTATCCTCTTGTGTTACTCTCCGTATCCTCCCTTGCCTTGGTCATGCTGTGCTAACTTCTCCCGTATTGCCTTTTCTTTCACCGATATTAACATGTGTCTTCTATCTAATTGGTAATTTCCCCTCTCTCCCCCTCCCAGCCCTGGTCACCATCAAAGAATGTTTCTCCTATCTTTTCCTGTGTGTAAACCTTTTGTTGTTACTTTATAATAGTGGTCTCATACAATATTTGTCCGTTTGTGATTTAATATTTCACTCAGCACAATATCCTCCAAATTTAACCATGTTGTGAGATGTTGCGTGGATTCATCATTATTCCTTATCGTTGCATAGTATTCCATCGTGTGTATGTTCCACAGTTTGTTAATCCATTCATCTGTGGATGGGCACTTAGGTGTTTCCATCTTTTTGCTATTGTGAATAATGCTGCACTGAACATGGGTGTGCATATGTCTACTTGTGTCATGGCTCTTGTTTCTTTAGGGTATATACCTAGGAGTAGGATTGCTCAATCATATGGTATGTCTATCCTTCTGAGGAAGCACCATACCGTTTTCCATAGTGGTTGCACCATTTTATATTCCCACCAACAGTGTATGAGTTCCAATCTCCCCACAACCTCGTCAACATTTGTTATTTTCTTTATTGCCAGTAACGCTGGGGTGAGATGGTTATCTTGTTATAGTTTTGATTTGCATCTCTCTAACTGCTTATGACCATGAG